CGGTTTCTCACGCGGCGAGGAGTTTGTACGCGCGCTTTTGCACCGCCGCGTCCTTCTCCCCGGTGGCCGGTCTCGCGGCTTTGAAGACCAGGTCCCTCGCGGGGGCGTCTAGACCGGGAACCATGGCTAAGGAGAGGTCCATGAACGTGCACCGGCGCGCGGATTTCGTGGCGCCGCCCTCCGTGAGCGCGTCCGGGGCGTTCTCCGCGTCCGAGGTCACCTTGACGAGCTTCTTCAGCACCGTGCGGAAAAATCCGCCGAGGGACGTCGCGTCCGTGACTTGCGCGAAGCACCCCACGGTCGCGCTCAACTCGCCGCGGCGTTCCGGCGGCGCCGCGACGAAGAGGTTGAACAGAATCGGCAGGAAGTTGCGCGCGTACTTCGCCACCGCCGCGGCTTGCGCTTCCGCGATTTCGGTGCTGAACCAATCCGGCCTGTCTTCTAAAATAGCGGCAGCCGCCGCGGCTTCGCGCGCGCGGTCCTCGTCCTCCTCGTCCTCGTCGTCGTCGTCCTCCTCCTCCTCCTCGCCGTCTGAGTCCGCGCCCGCGTCCGCGTTCGCCTTCGCCTTCGCGTCCGCGTTGATCGCCGCCCTCGCTTGTTGGATCAACCTTCTCAGCGCCTCCGTGAGCGGCCCTCGAAGGTCCGCGCGCGACGACAACGCGTTTCCGAGCGCGGGCGCGAGTCCTGGGAACGACTCCGCGGCGTCCTCGGGCCACCGACAGAACGCGGGAAGCAGCGACCACAGCGCGGACTCCCCCGCGGCGCATCGCTGCGCTTCGAACGCTCGCCCCGCGGCTTTCGCTTCCACCGCGCGCTTGCCCAACCGCCGCGCGATCGGGAGCATCTCCTCGGTGAAATACCCGACGCGACAACCTGGGTGAATCGATCGGTCAGTCGAACGTCTTACCGGTCAAACATTGAAAGGGAAGCGCGGGTGAAGAGTGACGACGGGAAAAGTCCTTAAGGAACGGCGTGCACCACGCGAACGGGGTCGTATGGGAAGCAGTCTCACCTCTCAACGCCTGACGCAACAGAGGGACGAGCCACAGCCGCGCGCCCGCGGCGCCGGCGACGTTCCCGCCGTTCTCGTCCAGCTCCGCGCCGGGGGCGTCCGTCTCCATCGCATCGTCGCCGTCGCGGTCGAACCCGTTCGATCGGCCGTTCCTGATCGCGGCGATCTCCGCGTCGACGCCCTCCTCGAGCCTCAGCGGCAGCACGGACAACACCTGCTCCGGCCCGAGCGCCTTCACCGCGGCGGAGAGACACAACGTGAGCTGTCCGCGGCACTGCAACCCTTCCCCGTGCGCGCCCATCTCTCCCAGCGCTTCCAAGCACCCGCCGAGTATGGGCCCGGCCGCGGGCCCCAACCGATCGAACGCGGCGGCGACGACCGGCAGCGCGATCGGCCACGCGGCTCGGTACCGGAACCCCAACGACGCGCGCAACGCGTTGGCGACGCCCACGACGGGCGGCGGCCGCGTCGGCGCCGCCCGCCCCGCCGCTCGCGCGGTCGCCATCGCCTTAATCCCCTCTCGCACCATGTTCGCGTCCACGCACCTGGTCACGAGCGAGGACAGGCACGCGCCGGCTTCCATGGCGACGCCCTCGTGGACGCTGTTGAGCATCTTAACGAGCTCGTGCGCCGCCGCGGGCAACGCGCCGCCGCCCGCGCCCGCGGGGTCGAGCTCGTGCAACCGTCTGACCGCGGCCGCGTGCGCGCGGACGAGCGAGACCGCGAGCATGGGGCGTCGCGCGGCTTCCGCGTGCGCCGCGGACGCGAGCGGCGCGATCGCCGCCGCCGCGGTCTTCGCCGCGAGTCGGCACGCCTCGGACGCGGACGGCGCCGCGGCCGCGTCGTTTGATCCTTTTCCAAAGGTTCGAGCGCTCGCCGCGAGCGCCGCCGCCGCCGCCGCCGCGCCCGCGCCCGTCTGCGCGAACAGACTCATCAGCGCGTCGCACGCGTGCTGCGTCAGGAGCGGCTCGCCTAGCGAGAGCAGCGCCGCGACCGCGCTCGCGGTCTCCCCCGCCGCGGGCTCCTCGAGCTCGCGCAGCGTCCGCTTCAGCGCGCCCAACAGATGGAGGCACTCCGTCGCCGCCGCCTGCGCGCGCCGCTCCGCAGCCTTCGCGCCCGCGCTGCCGTGCATCTCCGCGAGATCGCGCGCAGCCTTCGCGGGCGCCCTCGCGGTCGCGACGGCGACTTTCGCGAAGCACGCGCTCGCGTGCGAGGCGTACGGCGTCCCTCTGAGCGCGCGCAAAGCCGCCTCCGCGGACGCCGCGGCTTGCTTCCGAACCTTCGGCCGGGAGTCCACGCACAGGTTGCACACGGCGCTGAACGCTTTCTGGAGATGCGACCAGTCCCCGTCCGCGCCGTCGTTCGCGGGCGGAGGCGCGTCCCTGAGCGCGGCGACGAGGAGGCCGATGCACTGCACGACCCCGCGGAGCGCGGGGGGATGCTCCTGGAACGCCCTTCCCGACGCGAGCAGGACTTTCACGCAATCCGGGAGCTTCGTGAGCACCGGGCCCGCGGGCGCGTGCTCCAGCGCGGTCGCGAGGACGACGAGCATCGCGGTGGATACCTCTGGGGACGCGCTCGTCTCCGCGCGCTCGAGCGAGGACATCACCGCGGCGAACACCGCGGTCGGGGACGGCGCGATGTTCTCCTGTCGTAAGATTTCCGCAATCGCCTCCGCGACGACGCACACCTGCTTCGACTCCGGCTGCGCCGACCGCGCGTGCTTCGCGTGCAGAGACGCGATCGGGTCGTCCATGGCGAAGCCGACGAGGGTCGCCATGGCCACGCCACCGAATCCACCGCGCGGCGTTCTCCGTTCGCGCGCGTCGGGGTCACTGACGCCGCCGTGGCCGACACCGCCGCCAATAATAAATGCGGGCGCCGCCTCCTGTGTCCTGTCTCCACTGAACGCGAGCGCGAGCGACCGCGCCAGCGGCGCGCCCGCACTGCCGGCTGTCCAGCTGTCGGCCGACCGCGCGTTCTGTTGTTGACTCGTCCGAGAACGACGCGCTTCGGGCGTTCGGGGTGACGTAGCGTCGCTCGCCTTCACATCCGCACCGCGCGGGCGCACGCCGCGATGGGCAAGACCGAAGACGCTGACTTCCACGCCGGCGTCGCGATCGTCCCCAGGAAGGACGGCGTCGCGACGGATGGTGGCGGCGGCGACGACGAGAAGGCGGCGGCGGAAGGCGGAGAAGATCGCGGACAGCAGGAGATGGCGCCCTTCCTGTCGCTCTTTCGCTTCTACGGCCCTCGCGAGAAGGCGATGCTCGCGGTCGGCGTCCTGTTCTGCATGATAGGCGGCGCCGCGTTCCCCGTGATAAACATCGCGTTCGGGGAGCTGCTCGATTCCTCCGCGAACAACGCGAACGTCAAGAAGACGACCGCGGACGCGTGCTTATTCATGGTCGGCGTCGCGTGCGTGTTGGGATTCTCGCTGTTCGTCGGATTCGCGTTCGTGTCTTGGGCCGCGTCGCGCGGCGCGAACAACGTCCGCCGCGCGTACCTCGCGTCCCTCGTCGCGCAGGACGTCGCGTTCTTCGACGCCGCGCGCGCGGGCGAGCTCGCGGCGGCGACGAGCGAGAAGGTTCAGATTCTTCAAAACGGCACCGCGAAGAAGCTCGGGGAGTTTGTCCAGGCGACGTTCACCGGCGTCGGAGGTCTCGGCGTCGGGTTCTACTTCTCGTGGAAGCTCTCGCTCGTGATCTGCGCGGGGTTGCCCCTCCTCGTGGTCGCGACGTACTTCTTAATCAAGGCGACGACCGCGCTGACGGCGGCGAATCCGGATTACGAAAACGCCGGCGCCGTCGCGGTGGAGTCACTGACGTCGTCGCGCGTCACCGCGGCGCTGAACGATCAACCGGCCGCGGCGGCGCGGTACGAGAGACACCTCAGAGGCGCGGAAGCGCACGCGACGAAGTGTCAGTGGAGGATATCCTTCGCGAACGGCGGTCTGTTTGGTTCCATGTTCTTCATGTACGCGTTTGGACTCTGGTACGGCGCGTACCTCATCGCGGAGAGCACGGAGACGGCGCTGAAGGATTACCCCCCGCCGTCGGGGCTCACGGACAAGTCGGACGCGACGTGGGGGACGCACGCGGTGCTGTCTGACGCGTTGTGTTACGACATTCAGACTGGGAATAAATACAGCGGCGACGCGCTGTTGACGTGCGCGTGCGCCATAGACTACTCGATCATCGACGGGTATTCGTTGACGAATCCGAACTGCGGGTGCGGGTACCGCGCCAACGGCGGGATCGGGGGGATGAGCTCCGGGACGTCCCCGTGCGTCACCGGCGGGACGGTCATCTTGGTGTTCTTTTCCGTCTTGATCGGCGGGTTCATGTTTGGGCAGTGCGGCGCGTCGATCGAGGCGATCATCAAGGGGAGAATCGCCGCGCGCGAGCTGTACGCCGTCATCGACCGAAAACCCGCAGACGGGACCCCGGGGGCGGACGTCCGCGACCCCCAGGGCGTCGCGGTCGTGCCGAGCGAGGTCAGCGGCGCGGTCGAGTTCAAGGACGTGTGTTTCTCCTACGCCACGAGGCCGGTGTTCGTCGGTCTGAACCTGAAAATTGAACGCGGAAGCACCGTCGCGCTCGTCGGCGAGAGCGGGTGCGGAAAGTCCACGATCGGTCGCCTCTTGACGCGATTTTACGACCCGACCTCGGGGATGATCACCTTGGACGGCGTCGACATTAAGAGCGCGAGGATCGACGACTTGAGAGCGTGCGTCGGCGTCGTCTCGCAAGAGCCTCTGCTGTTCGAGGCTTCCATCCGCGAAAACATCGCCGTCGGTCGCGCCGGCGCGAACGCGGCCGACGTCCCGATCGAAGACATCGTCGCCGCCGCGAAGGCTGCGTCTGCGCACGAGTTCATCGCGTCGTTCCCGGACGGGTACGACACGATCGTCGGCGGGAAGAACAGCAAACTATCCGGCGGCCAGAAGCAACGCGTCGCGATCGCGCGCGCGGCGCTGCGAAACCCGCCGGTGCTCATCCTCGACGAGGCGACGTCCGCGTTGGACACGGAGAACGAGAAGATCGTGCAAAACGCGCTGGACGACCTCGTGAAAGGCGGCGCGCGCACGACGATCGTCATCGCGCACCGGCTATCCACCGTGCGCGACGCGGACGCGATCGTCGTGTTGGGCTCGAAGGACGCCGCCGGCGGGATGGCGGGCGGCGGCGCCGCGGAGGGCTCCGTCGTTCTCGAGCGCGGGACGCACGACGAGTTGATGGCGATGAAGGACGGGCGGTACCGCTCCCTCGTCGGTCTCGGGAAGTCCAAGGGGAAGGCCAGTTCTGCGTCTTCCGCGTCGCTCGCGGGCGCGGGGGAGACGCCGTCCGCGTCCGCGGCGGACTTGGTCAAGCTGAGCGCCGAGAAGGAAGAGAAGGAAGCCGACGAGAAGGACGACGCCGACGAGAAAAAGGCGAGCGACGAGGAGAAGCTCCCGCCAGTGCCAGCCGCGCGCATCTGGGCGTACAGCAAACCCGAGTACAACGTCCTCGCGTTCGGCGGGTTCGTCGCGCTCGTGAACGGCTGCATCTTCCCCTCCATCGCGTTCGTGTTCGCCGAGATGCTCGCGCTGTTTTACTCCCACGACACGGACCGCATCTACAAGTGGGCGTACATCTTCGCGGGGATATTCGCCGGCATCGCGTTTTTTTCGTGGATCGTCTCCGGGACGCAAGGCGGGATCTTCGGCATCATCGGCGAGAGGCTCACGACGCGTCTGCGCGTGCACTTATTCCGCGCGATATTACGCCAAGACGTCGGCTTCTTCGACGACCCCGCGAACTCCGTCGGCGCGCTGACGTCCAACTTGCGAACGGACACGAGCGCGGTGCAGAGCGCGACGGGGAAATCCTTCGGCAGCGCCGTGCAAACGTTCGGGTCGCTCGTGTTCGGTCTCTCCGTCGCGCTCGAGGCGTCGTGGAAGTTTGGCTTGGTCCTCATCGCGTGCGTCCCCGTGCTCGCGGTCGGAGAGATGATGAACATGCAGAACCTCACGAACGGCGAGACGGAGGTGCTCGAGTCGTTAGGACAGAGCGCTTCGCTCGTCAGCGAGTCGGCGGCGATGATTCGCGAGGTGAAGGCGTTCGGCCTCGAAAAGCGCGTGTACGACCTGTACGATTCGCTCTTGAACGTGCCGAACAAGGAGGAGCGAAACAAGGCGTTCTTCACGTCGCTCGCGTTTGGCGTCGCGCAGCTGGTCACGATGTTGTTTTACGCGTTCGCGTTCTGGTGGGGCGCGGAACTCATGTCGGACGGCGAGCTCGATTTTTACGACTTCATGAAGGCGCTGTGGGCGTTGGGTTTCTGCGCCGCGGGCGCGGGGCAGGCGGCCGCGTTCGCGGGGGACGCGCGCGCGGCGAACGTCGCGGCGTCGAGGATTTTCCCGCTCATCGACCGCGAGCCGGGCATCGACACGAAGCCGTTCATCGACGGCCCGCCCGGCGCCGTGGAGAGCGGCGTCATGGAGTGCCGCGTCGTCCCCGCGACCGTCGCGGAGGCGGCGGACGTCGGCCAGGGCGCGATCATTCCCCCGGACGCGTTTAAAGGCGGGATCGCGTTCAAGGGCGTGCAGTTTTTCTACCCGCAGCGGCAGTCGAAGGTTCTGAACGGCTTGGACCTCGTCATCAACCCCGGGGAGACGATCGCGCTCATCGGCCAGAGCGGCAGCGGAAAGTCCACCGCGGTGCAGCTCATCGAACGCTTCTACGACCCGACGACGAAGTCCGTCGTCGAAGCGCGGAAAGAGGAGGCGGAGCGAGCGAAAGCCGCCGCGGAGGGAGGCGACGAGCCGGTGAAGCGCTCGGACTTCGACTCGATCGTCGTCGAGGATACCCTCGCGCGAGGAGGACGCGATCCCGCCGCGGGCGCGGTCGAGCTCGACGGCGTCGACCTGCGCGACCTCGACCCGATGTGGCTCAGACGTCAGATCGGTTTGGTCGAACAAGAGCCGACGTTGTTCAGCGGCAGCGTGCACGATAACATCGCGGCAGGGAAGGGCGGCGCGGAGGCGAGCAGGGAAGAAGTCGTTCACGCCGCGAAAATCGCAAACGCGCACGAGTTTATCACCAAGATGGACGGCGGCTACGACGCGGATGTCGGCGTCGGCGGCGGGTTGGTATCCGGCGGTCAAAAGCAACGCATCGCGATCGCGCGCGCGATCATCCACTCGCCGAAGATCCTCCTCCTCGACGAGGCGACGTCCGCTCTCGATAACGAGTCCGAAAAGCTCGTGCAAGCCGCGCTCGACGCGCTCCTCGCCGAGCGCGGCGGCGACCGAACGACGATCGTGATCGCGCACCGTCTGAGCACGATTCAAAACGCGGATCGGATCTGCGTCCTGGAAAACGTCGGCGGCGGCGGCGCGAAGGTTGTGGAGCAAGGGACGCACGACCAGCTGATGGCGATCCCGGGAGGGAGGTACGTCGCGCTTCGCGCCGCGTACGACGACGCCGACGGGGAGCGATGAAGCGAGCGATGAAAAAACGTGTGAGCGGCGAGCGTTACGCGTGTGAAGAAGAGCGTTACGGGTGTGATGAGTGTCTAAGACCACTCGAGGAATGTTACTGTACTGTACGCCGTTCGTGCGCCCGATGGTTCGTCCGATGAAACTTCTTCTCCGACCACGACCTTTCGCGCGCCTCGCGCGCGCACAACGCGCGGCGCCCCCGCGCGCGCGCGTTCCCCGCGCCGTATCCCTCTCGCGATGCCCGTGGCTCTGAAGTGCGTCGGTCGCGGCGTCGGCGGCGTGGAAGAGATGGCGACGTTCCTGGACCCCAAGACGGTGTGCTTCGGTCTTCTCCGCTGCGACGTGGGCGCGGCGTCGGTGGGCGGCGTTCTCTCGCGACAGAAATACGTCGCCGTGCACTGGAACGGCGAGGAATGCCCGACGGTCAAGCGCGGCCGCGCGAACGCGCAGAAAGCCGAGGTCATGGTGCGTCGCCGTCCTCGACACGCGCGACGCCGACGCGCGCGCGAACGACGACGAGCCACCCCCCCGACCTCGACCTTCTGACTTTCGTTCGGTTCCTCACGCCCGCCGCGCCGCCGCCGCCGAGACGCAGGAACTGCTGCAGCGTAAAGGCGGCACCGCCAGCGCGGAGGTCGTGTTCACGTCCAAAGACGAGTGCACGATCGACGCGGTCGTCGACGCGCTGCACCGCACCGTCGTCGTGGACGCGCGCAACGTGGACGCGATGCGGGCGGACGTCAAAGCGCAGCTCGCGGACGCGAAGCGCGCGTTGGAGGCGTTGACGCTGCGGAAGAGAGAGAAGGAAGAACGCGAACGCCGCGACTTCATGGCCGCGTATCGAGGCGGCGACGCCGCCGGGACCGGCGGTGGAGGCTCCGACGACGCGCGCGCGTACTTCCCCGGGGTGTATCCCACGGACGTCGGCCACGCGCTCACGGGCGGGCGCGAGGTCACCGTCGCGGAGGCGTGCGAGATATTGCGCGCGGAACACGGGACGATGAACTGGTTGCTGTGCGACCTCACCCCGGAGACGGGGCGACCGCGTCTGTTCGCCGCGGATTCCAACGGGCTGCATAAGCTGACGCGGTACCTCGCGGCCGACGCGGTGTTCTTTGGCCTGATTCGCATGACGTTCGGGATCGGGAAGCGCCGACGTCGGAAGTTCATTTTCCTGCGTTGGATCGGCGAAGACGTCTCCGCGACGCGGCGGCGAGACGCGGAGGAGGCGCTGTCGAAGATGCGATCCGTGCTCGGTTCGACGTCGTGCGATCACTTCGCGACGTCGAGGGAGGACGTCACCGCGGACGTGCTCGTGGATAAACTCGCGCGGATCGTCGGCGGCGACGGCGATGACGAGGCGTTCGGCAAAGAAGCGTTCGTCGCCGCCGCGGCGGAGGAGACGGAGGCGAGCCGGAAAGCCGCGGCGGCGGCGGCGGCGGCGGAGAAGCGCGGGAGCGATGCGTTTTTCTGGCCGCCGTTCGAGGACGCGCTCGCGTCCGTGCGGGAGGATTCGGAGCCGTTCAATTGGGTGATGGGAGAGATCGACTACGGCGGGAAGGGGGCGGCGGCGGCGTGAGCGAGAGAAGACGGACGAGAGCGAACGAAAATCGTTGATGAAAAAAGAACTGGGAGGACAGAACCAAACACGTTGATGAGCGTTGTTAAACTTCGGCGAGTCCCAGTCCTCGCTCGCGCGGCTCGCCGCGCGCGCAGCCCTCGCGATGCGAGACGCGAGCGGGATGCGACGCCCCGGGCGGTCGGTGACGATGCGCCCCGGAACGAACAGCCGGAACGACGTCGATATTCGAGAGACGCTGCTGGCGCGGTCGTCGAATCTCGGTGAAATCGACGCGGGGTTCGCCGAATCTGACGTCGCGGGTTTCTCCGCGCGCGCGCGCGTGGCGCACGACAAGGGGACGAAGAATGCGCGCCGGTGCCTCGCGACGATGATCGTCGCGCTCGTCGCGATCGGGTTCTTGCGCCCGATGTACGGCCCGTACATCGACCGCTTCGGCGACGGCGGGGACATCACGAACTTCTTCTCGAAAGTCGAGTCGGTCGTCGAGGAGAGAATACAGCGGTACGGCTTGAAGGTGCAACAGCGCACGTGGGGGAGCTCGCGGGGGTGGCGCGGGCACGGGAACGGGTTCCGAGAGGGCGACGGGTAGATTGAAACTGCGGCGAGGGGTACAGGCCTACGCCCTTTAAGCCCTGAATTAGCGTGAATTGACGGAGCTTAAAGGGTTGAACCCTTCGGGTTCATTTCACCCTTAACTCTGTCGCATCAACGCTAATTCAGGGCTTAAAGGGCGTAGGCCTTCCCTATTAAACTTATATTTGATAGGTGATTTTTGTATCAATTTTAGGGTTTTTGGAAACCTAAGTGATGCCTCCTCAAAACCAAAAATCACCCTTTTCTTGACCTCCCAAAACCATTCAAAAACCTCCCGACAGCTCTTTAAGTATCACGAAACCTTACGGAAATCACGAAACTTTGGGGGCGTATCTGGAGCGTAGCGACACAGAACCTCTAAGACCGCCGTAAGCCTCGCTGACGCAGAAATCACGGAACTTTGAGACCTCCCAAGGCCTTTCAAAAACCTCCCGACAGCTCACAAAAAGTATGCTGAAACCTTACGAAAATCACGAGACTTCGGGGGCATATCTGGAGCGTAGCGACCCAGACCTCTACAAATCTCCGTGAACCTCGCTGACGCAAATATCACGGAACTCTGTAGCACCTCTTTAAGCCCTGCGAAGTGTTTTTGAGCTGTTGAAATACACCTCAAAAACACGGGAAACCACCTAAATCGGGGGTCGCAAAACCAAAAATCGGGGGTTAGAAAATCACACGAAAATCATCCAATTTCGGGGGTTAAAATCGTCCAATTTGGGGGGTTAGAAAATCACACGAAAATCGTCCAATTTGGGGGGTTAGAAAATCACACGAAAATCGTCCAATTTCGGGGGTTAGAAAATCACACGAAATCACCTAAAAATGGGGGTCTCCAAATCACACGAAAAAACGCCTAAAAAACGGGGGTCTTCTATGGGGCTTCTATACCTTCTGTGAGCCTTCTGTGAGACCCCATTTCATACCATCCACGAAACAAGCACAGAGGACGAGAGAAAGCCAGACCCAAATATCTATGTAGGGCTTTTTTGGTCTCTAAAGGGGGGTCTGTTTTTGAGACAGGGGGGGAGACCGCCAGACCTTAATGTTGGCTATGTTGGCTGTAGGGTATGTTTTTTTTTTCTTTCTCACACTCCTAATCCGTTCTCTCTCTCCCTCCTTACGGATTACACTCTATATAAAAAAGAAAAAGAGTATACATATCTACATAGTCAACATAGGATATAGCAATCACGGGACTTTCTCGGTGTATAGTATTCTTTCAAAGCCGTCAAAGACCCATCATTTTGGGTCTGCCTGGCGATTTCCCCGTGTTTTTGGTCTAGGGTCGCCTGACCCCCATTTTGCCCAAAAAATCGCCTGAAATCTGGAAATGACTGAACTTGACTGATCTCCCAAATTAGGAAAGCCCCGTAGTATTCACTTACCCCCGCACACCGCCCAAGACGCGCGCTTGAAGTTGCGCCTCGGTCAAGTATCGTTTGAAAAAACGCGATGAATTATTTTGTTTGATCGATACATCGACCAACGCTGAAAGCAAAAAAGTTATTTTGACACCCTGGCTAGCTATCAAAGTGAAGATACACGTAGTCGTGAGAAAATCACACGAAAAGGAGGTTACACAATTTAGCGCACGAACCCTAGTCGTTGCCCTTACCCCTCGGACAAACAAACGCGCCGCCGCTCCCCGCAGCCGCCGCTCGTGTATACACCAACCCGGGTAGGGTAGATCACGGATCGTATCCACGCCACGCGAACGCAGGTTCCCGCATCGCCGCCCACGCGCAGACTGTTTGATCTCTCTGATTCCGTCGCGCGATAACGCGGGGCGGGGGGATTTCGCATCTCACCACCACGAGCGCGGCACATCCACGAGGGACGCGTTTGCGAGAAACGTCTGAAGGAAGGATGGGGCGATCTCTGTCACGATCTGCGTCATAGTTCACACTCTCCTGGATGCGCCTTGTGATCCTCGGAAAGCGCTGTCATATGGAACATCTTATCACTAGACCTCACGGTGCAGAGATTCCAGCGCGAGATGTCGCCGTTGAAGTCCGAGCGCCATAAAACATGTACGCCGTGTCCGTGACCTTGCTCGTGTCCCACTTGGAGATGTCGCCGTTGAAAGCCTTGGCGTTGAAGAACATTCTCTCCATGTTCGTGACCTTGCTCACGTCCCAGTTCGAGATGTCGCCGTTGAAAGAGGAAGCGGAGTAGAACATTCTCTGCATGTTCGTGACCTTGCTCGTGTCCCACTTGGAGATGTCGCCGTTGAAAGCCTTGGCGTTGAAGAACATGCTCTGCATGTTCGTGACCTTGCTCGTGTCCCACTTGGAGATGTCGCCGTTGAAAGAGGAAGCGGAGGAGAACATGCCCCCCATGTTCGTGACCTTGCTCACGTCCCACTTGGAGATGTCGCCGTTGAAAGAAGCGGAGGAGAACATGTACCCCATGTTGGTGACACTGCTCACATCCCACTCAGAGATGTCGACCTTAGGATAGATGCGATGAAACAAATAGGACATGTCCGTGACCTTGCTCACGTCCCACTTGGAGATGTCGCCGTTGAAAGCCTTGGCGTTGTAGAACATGCCCCCCATCTGGATGACCTTGCTCGTGTCCCACTTGGAGATGTCACCGTTGAAAGCGAAAGCGGACAGGAACATGCCCCCCATGTTTGTGACCTTGCTCACGTCCCACTTGGAGATGTCGCCGTTGAATGAGGAAGCGCCAATGAACATGCTCTTCATTTTCGTGACCTTGCTCACGTCCCACTTGGAGATATTGCCGTTGAAAGCCTTGGCTTTGGAGAACATCTCCCCCATGTTGGTGACCTTGCTCACGTCCCACTTGGAGATATTGCCGTTGAAAGCCTTGGCTTTGGAGAACATCTCCCCCATGTTGGTGACCTTGCTCACGTCCCACTTGGAGATATTGCCGTTGAAAGCCTCGGCGTTGGAGAACATCTCCCCCATGTTGGTGACCTTGCTCACGTCCCAGCCGGAGATGTCGCCGTTGAAAGAGGAAGCGGAGTAGAACATGCTCTGCATGTTCGTGACCTTGCTCGTGTCCCACTTGGAGATGTCGCCGTTGAAAGCCTTGGCGTAGTAGAACATGTTCCTCATCCTCGTGACCTTACTCGTGTCCCACCCGGAGATGTCGCCGTTGAAATTTCCGTTAATAAAAAACAAATTGCTCATGTCCGTCACTGCGGTGACGTCCCATCGGTTAATATCGGCGGCGGCGCATTCGTCCCTGCATTCCTTGATGGCGGCGATGAGCTCAGCCTTGTTATGAAATTTCCTCGCCGGGGGCGGCGGAGGCGGAGAAGGCGGCGGAGGCGCCGGCGGCGGCGCAGCCGGAGGTAGGGGTGGAGGATGAGGTGGCGGCGACGGATATTGCAGGCGGAACAAATGGTCTTCTCTGGACTCCGTCGCGGCGTTCGATCTTCCAGACGCCGCGCTCGATGAAACCGTCTCGTTCACCGCGCGCGGCGGTTCGTTTAGGAGCGCTTTGAAGTACCCGATCCCGCGGGCAAACTTGGCTCGCGCGGCTTGGTTGCCGGCCGCGGCGGCCGATTTCGCCTTTCTAATCAACCCCCCGATTCGTCCTTTGAGCGCCTTCGCGTGCCCGTCGCTCCACGAGATGACGGAATCGGTTTTGTAATTCGCGGCGACGACGAGCGTCCCGCGCTTTTTCATGATCACGTTCACCGCCCTCATCGTCCGCGGTCCCGCGGACATTTGCGAAAACCTCTTCACGCCTCTCGGGTCCTTCCCGACGAAACCAATGAACTTCAAGACGAGCGTCGCGGACGTGCCGTCCTCGCTCATCTCCGCGGAGACGCGCGACGGCGCGATCGAATGGAATTTAATCCCTCGGCTCAGGCGCGACTTCACGACGTTTTCTACAAAATTCAACTGCACATCCGCCTTCGCCGCGGACATGCCCGTGATCACGTACGTCGTCGTGACCGACGTCTCATCAACTTCGTCGAGACTCGCGCGTCTCGAATCGACGAGCGAGCGCGGGTTCGAAACGGTCGGTCGCTCGTCGTCCTCTCCTGCGCGAATGTTCGCGCACGGCCCCGCGTCGAGGACTCGACTCTGCTCAGCATTCGAACAGGTGCCGCACCACGCGCCGCCGCAGTCGACGCCTTCCTCGTCTCCGTTTCGCACGCCGTCGAAGCACGTCGCGCACTGGTCGCCTTCGCACTCGTGAACGGTCCACTCGGATTCGTCGAACGGCCCGGCCACCGCTAGCGCGACGGCTCCGACTTGGTCGCAAACGCAATCGTAATCGTACCCTTCGACGGCGTCGAGAAGCACGCACGCGGGAGCGGCGACGGAAACGCCGCCGGTAAACGCAGGCGACTCGACGGCGACGTCCGAGCCGTCCGTCGCGGTCGTTCGCATGTGCGCGCAGTACATGCGCGAGCGGATTGACGTGGCGTTCTTCGCGACGAACACTTTCTCGTTTCGAAGGAAGCGCCCTCCGTGGAACGCGAGTCGCGCGGTCGCGACGACGTCTCGTACCCCGTGAGGATTTAGATCGCTCAGTTGACCGAGGAACTGATCCACCACGTGTATGACGGCGACGACCGGGCTCACGATGATGACGTCGACGTCGGCGGTCTCGAACGCCCTCGACGGAATCGCGCCGACGCTGAACGTGACGCACTCGTCGGATTTGATGATAGTCGGCGCCGCGCCGGCTTCGTTGTCGCGCGTCGAACGAAAGGCACCGGAAACGCTGAACGTCGGAATGTGGCTCGGCCACTCGGACGACGACTCCGACGCGCCCCCGGAGAGCTTTTCGTTGTACGCCGCGACGGTGCCTGAAAAGGTCGCGCGGGAATACAGCGTCCTACGCTTCCCACCGCCCCCGCCGCGCATGGCGATCGTTCGCGTCGTGACAGGCGCGTCGCACGTTTCTTCGTTTGCGACAGCCGCGGCGGCGGCGCCACGCAGCATCTTCACCGAGTCGACGCCGGAACTCCGGTGGGACACGAGACGCGCCGCGGCGGCGTACGCCGAGGCGAGGCGAGCCCAGTCTTCGTCGCTCTCCGCGTTCGACTCTGGACTCGCGTTGATGTTCACGCGCGACGCCGCTGCGGCGTACTTTCGTTGCTCGACAGGCCAGTCGTGCGCGACGCGAGTGACGACGGGCAAGAGCGCTTGGATCGGGACGTCTCTCGACGCTCGGCCGGGGTCGAACGACGCGAATTCACAGCTCGTCGTGAGGTACGTGTCTGATAGCTCGAGCACCGTCTCGATGATGTCCTCGGAGATGCCGCCGTTGCACCTCGCCAGGACGCCTCGAACGACGTCTAGCGCCTTTTTCAACTCGGTCCCCACGGACGGACTAGGAGGGGACGGCGACGACGGTTCGATGTTCTCGCCCAAGAGCGCGCGGCGGCGCCGTTGCGCCGCCACCGCGTGTCGCAGCTTATCCACTTCCTGCAGCCTACGCAACGCGGCCGGGAAGACGTGGAGGTGCTCGAGGTGCGAACCGATGACGAATACGTCGTCGACCGCCGCGGAGATGTTCGCGTGCGCGGCGACCTTCACGGTGGTGACCGAGGTTCCGAACGCGCCCTCGTCGTCGAACGCGACGCATCGAATCTTCGTGCGTCCACCAGCGCGTCGATTGTGAGGGAGCAAGACGTCTTCGAAAACAGCGTGACCTTCCTGAAGCTCTGTGAGCCACATCCAACGCGGGGCGAAGACGTCGTAGTCGTACCAGTACGCGAGGCGATACTCGAGCGTTTTATCCGCGTCGACCCATTCGCCGCAATCGACGGAGAATTTAGTTTCAAATTCAATCCCGTCGATCGCGGGTTCGACGACGACGCCTTCGCCCACGGACCGAGGCGGCGCGTTCGTCACCAGGATTCTCTCCGATTGTCCTTCGCATCCGTTATCCACGCCGGCGACGCGCGTGGTCAGCGTGAGCGTGTACTCGCGGCCGGGGTTCATCGTATTTTTGACGATCGACATGTACCCCTTGTCTTGCCAGTGCGTGTACACGGGAACGGCGAGCGTCGTCGCGGTCGCCGGGCTCGTGTCCACGATGCTCCACCTGAACTGCACGCGGCCTAAAGCGCTTACTCCGTCGCCGTAGATCCGAAACAAGAATTGATGGTTGATCGACTTCGGCGTCGGCTCGATGTTCGCGCTCGGGCACGTGTTGTTCCCCGTCACGAGCTGAACCTTATCAGGCCCTCTCGACGAGCGGTGAGTCTTGGACGTCAGCATCGTGAACGTGTACGCCGAATTCGGTCCCATCGTGTTTGGTGGCAACGTCAGCGGGCTCCCACTGGGTATGTCGTCGACCACGAATATTCCATACATGTCCTTGAGTTTCTTCGTCATGCCGCGGAGGTGGCACGTCGGGCGGTCCGCGAGTAAATCCTCGCACGTCCAGTCGTGTCTGAGCGCGTGGGTGTCCGTTCGCCAGTCCGGATCGACGAATCGCAAAGGCGCGGTCGTGACGTTCACCTCCTCGGTTTTATCGACGATGAAAGCACCGGTGTTCGCACGCGAGACCGAAGGATACAACGAAGACGCGTCGAACGTTACGGGTGAGTACGAAAAATCACCGCCGTTCGCGTCGATTGGCTTGAAGTAGTCCGTCATGGGGTCTCCGCCCATGCCACCGACGATGATCGATTTTATACCCGCATAACCCGCTCGCATGACACGCCCTGGGAAGCCGTGCACGTCATACACCGTGTCGTTGTGCCACGTGTCGTTGAAAAATATCGAGTAGTTTGAAGTGAAGTGGTACTGCCGGGCGGCGAAGAAAAGTGTCCGTGATAGGCGGCCGGACACCATCCCCCGCGTCGCAGCGACGATTTTCTGCAGCTTTGCCTCCTGCGCGACGACTTCAGGGTGCAATCCCGTAGGGGTGGGCCATCCCGCGACGCGGGACTTGGGGAACGTAGCGTACATTTCGGAGTTGTACTCTGGCTTCACCGCCCACGTCACCGACACTGGGGGATTGCACTCGGGGAGGTCGGAGTATTTCCATCGGCGGTCGTACGTCCATTCGCGCACGAGTGCCAACTGAGTAAATGATTTGCGCAATGACGCGGGGGTGAAGATCGCGGGCGGAGAATCTATTGCTATGCTGTGAGGATTGTGAGGCCCATACCTGAAAACAAGCTTCGGCGATGATGGCACACTTCTTTCATCGCACGAACCACCTGGGAAGATATTTATAGTCGCCGTTGCGGTGTCCGCGTGAGGATCGTGCACAAGTTGACCGGTATAAGGGTCGACCGCGCCGCGATCCACGTCGTGACCTTCTTTGTTGTACGCGACGACGTTGAAAATGTACTCCCAAGCCCAAGGGCAATCTGCAAGGAAGAATTCTCGTGGGATTCGCAGCGTATGTTTGCGAGGTTGCGAAGACACAAATGCCTCCAATTTCCTCACCGACTCCTTCTCCTGCTCGGTCTGCGGTTTGATGTAAACGTGCGGACAATAATTAGTAGTTGCGGGATTGCACTTAGGATCCGTCCAGACACTTCTTCTCACAGATTCGGGTTTCAGGCTCCACTTGAATCGCAAAGGAACATCCCCGATCGCGCCGGTGGAACGATCCGCGTGGAGCACGATTTTGTCGTCGTACGCAGTTTTCTCAGGGTGGTAGCATTGCTCGTTGAACAGTTTCTGTTGGTTTACTATCACCGGTGACGTCCATGGAAGATCGTATGGATTTCTGTCTGAGTAGTACCGACCAGCGAATCTCCCGGTGTATTTGATCGTGGAATGGTTCCCTGACGACGAAGGGAACGCATAAGAACCTTTGGAGGTAGTCACATCCGCGACGACCGCGATGGGCTCTCCCGCACGTCTTGTCACCACGACAGAGGCGGTGGAGCTGTTTCCTCGTTCTCTGAAGCGGTCGTGATATACGACGCCGCCGCGCAGGCTGAGCGTCGTTCCGTCGGACACGCCGTCGCTCGACTCGGTGACGTTGTGTTCGCCGACGACCAGATACAATCGGACGAAGCGTTTGTCGATGAACGCGCCTATGCACCCTTCGCCTAACACGACCGCGCTTTCGCGAAGGAAGAGTTTATCGCAAGAGTACGCGCCTCCGAGGGTGAGCCCAGCGGTCTCGCCGCGGTCGGTGTCGACGTCGAACAAGAGGTCGACCGCGGTGCCCGCCATGTTCATGTGCGCCCACAACAGCTTCACGGGGGGCTCTTTGAAATCGAGAGGGTTGCAGACCTCGAAGCTAGCCAATTGCGAAGGACCTCGGAACAGCACCGCGTACGCGTCCGACTTTTCGCAATCACGACCCGTAGCGAAATCCGTGACTTCATCGCCGCTACGTTTCATCGGGCACTTGTTTCCGTATTTCGAGTTCTCGCCCCAAACCTAGGGCGATGTCGGGGTGGAGTTGAAAAACGTCGAGGTCAAATGTTGAAAGCGAGGGTTGGGCGGAGAGATGAGACGGGGAAAGTCCTTAAGGAACGGCGTTCACCACGCCAACGCGGTCGTATGGGGACCAGTGTATAGAACGCACCTGCAGCGCGTTCGCGGTGGTATAAAATGCGCCAGATTTCCCAAAATCGATCTCCGACGGAGGCTGTTCCACGAGCAACGCGGACGTGCACGCGCCAAAGTGGTAGACGTCATCGGGGCAGTACACGCCGCCGGCGATGCCAGTCACCTTGCCTGACGCCTTCCCGGGGACGTACGTCCACTTCGGGCGGGTGATCAAATTAGGATCCATGATAGCAATGTACGGTTTCGACGCCATCTTATCGGAGCCTTCAAAATCTCTGTTGTTCAAGCGGTTGTTCGTTTTTAGAACAGCTAAGTCTTTTATCGCGCCGGCGGGCATCTCGCCACCGAAAACGATGTTCCCCTTGCCATCGACGTCGAGCGCCTTGAGCGTGACGCCGTAAACCGCGTAATATGGGGCTGCGGTCTTTGAGTAGTCCGGACAAGCCAGCATGCCTCCAATCGGCGACGACATGAGAAACTGCCCTTTGAGGACGACGCCGAGGACGGGGTCCACGATCGCGACGTACGCCACCTTGGCGTGGAGCTGGTCGACGAGCCCGCCGAGGTCAGAGTTAGGGTTTGTGCCCCTGAATGTTTCTTTCGGCCGCTTCGAGATTCGGTTAGCGACGACGTGAGAGCCGAGCTGTTTAGAGCCGTCGTGAATAAACACGGTGTGTGCGGTGATGATCTGAGCATGTGAACCAGGAAGGCATAAGTGGAGGGATTCTTTCTCGAAGCCGTTCGTCTCGCCGCCGACGACGAGGCGGCCGGAGCGATCCAATACCATCTGCGTGATTTGCGTGTCCGAGCCGTCGCGCTCGTCCAGGTCCGACCCCGCGTAGTCCCACGTGCTCCATCTCAAAGCATACTCCGCGCGTTCGCCCGCGCGAACGTTTGCGTCGAACTTGCGCAAGAACGCGATTCGCGTGAGCCGATCGTACGGCGCTTCCGGCGCTGGTGGCGTGTGATGCACCATCGCTTGTTTGAATCCACCGACGTACACCCCCGAATTCAATCCGTCGACGTCGGAGACGGCGACATCGAGCGGGAAATCATCCCCTACCTTCCCTTCCTGCTTGAAATGATCCACCTCGAGGCGAGCCATTTCGTTCCCACCACCGATCACGTCCAAGACGACGACGAGCGTAGGAGATGTCCGGGCGGGGCACACTATGTAACCATTGTTGACGAGGCAAGGTTCGCTTCCGAACGCGAGCACGGCCGCGACTCGGCCTCTCGGTCCGATGGCCACGCGGATCTTACCCGGATGTAAACCGCATAAAGGCGCGCATTTGGGGTTCGAAACGCCACCGTCGCACTTTGCGCACGCGTTCCACAGCACGGCGTTCGCTTCGTGGTTCAAACCGAGGACACCGTCTGGGCCGGCGATGATCAGCGTCCCGGTTTCGTTCGATATGCGCATGTGCTCCGTGGCGTTGCTTCCGACGTAGGACACGGACTTGGGCGAGCCGCACGAGAGCTCGGGGGCGCCGTCGTATCCACACCCAGCGCCCTCGAGTGTTAAGATTTGCGCCATGCACTGATGCCCAGTCGATTCGTTGAAAATTCCAGGCATGGGATTCTTCGTGTCCGCGCACCCAGACGCCTCCTCGGTCAAATCCGTGTGAGCCAAAGACGTGTTCGACCCGAGCGCGTTTAGGGCGCCCATTTGCCCGCCGAGGAGGAAATCGCCGTCGCGCCGAGACACCGCGCTCGTCACTTTGGTGTCCACCCCGTACATGTTGCCAAGATACGAGGCGAACCCGTAGTGCGTCGCTGGCGACGTGAGCGGCTTGCACTCGTCCGTGACGAGCCGGCGGATACCGAAGATCTCGTACGTGTGCGTGGTGTCCGCCCCCTCCCCAGCCTCGTCTAGGCACCGCCACGCCGGTTCCGTCGCTGGGTTGTACCCGATCTGCATCACCGCGTAATACGTGTACCCGCCGTCAGGCGAGAACATGTCTCCAAGGATGTCCGAGCACAACCACGGGGACTTCGCCTGGGACGTCGCTAGGTCCATGTACGGGCTTTGCAACGTGTTGGAACCGTCGATGAACCGCCGATGCGCGAACCCCCACCCCTTGGCGGCGACGCCGTAATGCGTGACGCTCCTTCCACTGAGCATGGCATACTGTCCGATGGGGTTCTCGGCGTCGTCGACGCCGTCCCTTCCCACCCACGCGCCCGGTTTGTGTTTGGTTTCCTTGCGCCAGCTTCGGAACGAATACAGTTTGCCCCTGTCCGTCTCTCGATCAAACGCCCATCCATTTCGGTCTGTTAACCAAACCTTGTTCGGGTGAAGGATGACGATGTCCTCGTGGTCGCCTGTCTTGTAGATTCTGGCGCCGTGTATGACGTCTCGCGACCGCCACTTCGGTATCGACCCGGCGTCGTCGAGTTCGAAGCGGCCGGCGTAGGATCGCTTATCGAAATCCTCGCCGCACAACCCGGTCAGCTCGCACGTTGCGGTTTTGCCTCTGAGGATAGCGAACATCCCGTCGTAATCCCACGGAATATGGTGCTTATCGTCGTCCCCAGAGGCGAAGTGGATGTTTCCGTCCGCGGTGACTTTGAAATCGGTGTACGACGACGCGGTTATGTCTTCCCCTGAGGTCGACCACTCCGAGCCGCCTCCCCACCCGGACTGCCCGCCCTTCGTATGTTTGTTTCCCCACCTCAGAGCCTTTGTGTCTTGCAAAGGACACGCGCCGGCGAACCCTTCATGTATTTGGGATAAGCACCCAGCCGGTGCGTCCACCGCGCAATCGCCGCTCGCGACCATATGAGCTCGTTTCGCTTTGATGTCGTCGAACTCGCTCTTCGAGGTGTACCTCTTGGGATCATACTCGCGCTCGAGGCCGTCGCAGCAGATGTCGTACTTCTTCGTGATAGGGTTGATGGATTTGCGTTTAGCGCAATTGGGATACCCGAATTTATCCCGTCCGCCTCTCCAACCGAGGTGCTTTCCCTCGCAACACCAGTGAGGGTCTGCGCAAGAGCCGTCTTTGCATCCGTAGAGCTTCAACGAGCGAGGATCCGGTATGCGAGTCCATCTGCCCTGGGGAATCGGGACGTGGTTCACGAACATGTTCGGCTCTTCGCACCCGTCCGGCAGACAACGAGCCTTCCACGCGTCCGGGTTGGGCGGCTCGAACGCGGCTCGCGCGGCGATAGCCGCCACGAGATCGGCGGGATCGATCGACGCAGCTCCAAACTGAACGCGCATGTCGTACACGTCGGTGACCGCCGCGGCGGGCAAGTGCGGGGCGGCGAGGCTCCGTGATTTGTCGCCGCCCCCACGGCACTCGTTCCCGCGGCACTGCGTATACACGGGTATGTCTTCGGTCCCGTCAAAGTAAGACCCGTTCGGCGTCTCCACCGTGCACATCTTTTCGCCGCCGACGTACAAGTCCACCGAGGTGGCCGAGACCGCGACGACGAGGGAGTGCCAGGTCTCCGAGTCGATCGATTGTTTTGTCTTGCACAAGCCCACAGAAGCGTCCGATTTCACGCACGAGCTCACGAGCGGACGCGGTTTGTACGACTCCGGCATGACGCCATTGGCAAACATACGGTTCCTTAGCGTGAGCGTGAGCGTGCCGTCGTCGTTGCACATGACCCAATCGGAGAGGTCTTGCTTGAATTTCGTGGCGCCGTTGAACATGTCCCCCATGTTGGTGACCTTGCTCACGTCCCACTTGGAGATGTCGCCGTTGAAAGCCTTGGCGTTCATGAACATGCTCCTCATGGTGGTGACCTTGCTCGTGTCCCACTCGGAGATGTCGCCGTTGAAAGCGGAGGCGCCTTGGAACATGACCCTCATGGTGGTGACCTTGCTCACGCCCCACTTGGAGATGTCGCCCTTGAAAGCCTTGGCGTAGTAGAACATGCCCCCCATTTGGATGACCTTGCTCGTGTCCCACTTGGAGATGTCACCGTTGAAAGCGAAAGCGAATTGGAACATGTTTCTCATGTTCGTGACGCTGCTCACGTCCCAATTGGAGATGTCGCCATTGAAAGCAGAGGCACCATAGAACATTTGATACATGTCGGTGACCTTGCTCACATCCCAGGAGTTCATATTCTCGCAGCCCTTCACCGAGTCTTTGGCGAGACACGATTTAACGGCGAGACGGAGCATATCACCGTTGGAAAATGTTGACATAACGCAATGACCGAGACGGGGCTTGTGCTCCTCCTTCAAATTTGATATGCCCGCTTTAAATTGCGAGAGTTGATAAGAACGCATGGATTTTTTCGTCAGCTTGCAAAGATTCCAATTCGATAAGTCTTGGTCGAAATTCGAGCTTCCGTAGCCGTAGCTTCCGTAGCTGAATAAATATGTCATTATAGTGACACTGCTCACGTCCCATCCAGAGATGTCGCCGTTGAAAGCCTTGGCGCCTTTGAACATTGTCCCCATGTTGGTGACCTTGCTCACGTCCCAATTGGAGATGTCGCCGTTGAAAGCGGAAGCGGAGGAGAACATGCTCCCCATCTTGGTGACCTTGCTCACGTCCCAATTGGAGATGTCGCCGTTGAAAGAGGAAGCGGAGGAGAACATGCTCTGCATGTTCGTGACCTTGCTCGTGTCCCACTTGGAGATGTCGCCGTTGAAAGCCTTGGCGTTGAAGAACATGCTCTGCATGTTCGTGACCTTGCTCGTGTCCCACTTGGAGATGTCGCCGTTGAAAGCCTTGGCGTTGAAGAACATGCTCTGCATGTTCGTGACCTTGCTCGTGTCCCACTTGGAGATGTCGCCGTTGAAAGAGGAAGCGGAGGAGAACATGCCCCCCATGTTCGTGACCTTGCTCACGTCCCACTTGGAGATGTCGCCGTTGAAAGAAGCGGAGGAGAACATGTACCCCATGTTGGTGACACTGCTCACATCCCACTCAGAGATGTCGACCTTAGGATAGATGCGATGAAACAAATAGGACATGTCCGTGACCTTGCTCACGTCCCATGAGTTCATATCTTCGCAGCCCTTGTTGCCACACTCTTTGACCGCAATTTTTAGCGAAGTCCTGTCGGAGAACGTGCGCGTGTAGATTTTCGCAACCCGCGCGGGCGCGGCGATTGTCAGAGCAGTCGGTTCGTTGTCCGCAAACGCGCTCGCAATCGTCATGCCCGCTGATACGGGTGCTGCTGACGTCGACGGCCGCGTAGGAATCATTTTACCCGTCCCTTTGTCCGTCGCGGCGAGGACGAGTGTGCCGTCCCTGTGCGCGTAGAGCGAGAAGCCCTTGACCGGAATGGCACCGGGCGGCAGATGGTCAATCGCGGAGGGCAGCGGCTCCTTTGCCGGGTCGAACTCGACGCCCACGTGCAGGATGTTACCGACGGTCGCTCCCTTCACCTCGACGTGATAGTTCTCCCAGTCGATCGTAGTCGTCCCGTTGTACACGGGACTGGCGTACTTTAAGCCGTTCGTGTCATGTCCGTACTGCGCCTCTTCCGCGGCAAGCACGTTCGTAGATGGCGGCGACGACGAGTTCTGAAATACCGGCCGAAAGTGGCGCATCCGCACGTACGCGGCGACCGTGAAGCCGTCACCGATGTCGGCCGTCGTGTTCGGGCGCGGAAGGCTCGGCGCGTCCCATTCGTACCCTGACAGCTTCTTCTTGATATACGCCGCGGGTGCAAAGTTTCTCGGAGTAGACCACGGCAGCTGCGGCTCGCGCCATCGCCCGAGGATGAGACGCTTGGACGAAACCCCGGGGAGGGGCGGCGCCGTGACGTTCGCTGAGCCGCGCTCATATGGATTGACCCATCCGGGCTCCCACATGATGACGTAGCTGACGCCGCCGAGCACGTAGGAATGTTGACGAACCTTATCGTAGCGTTTGTCCGAGTTTATCAGCGGTTTCGCCTCAATGTCCGTGCTCTGCTCGTAACTGGCGTACAACGCGTCCAATCCGCCCACAAACAGCGCCCCAGGGTACGCCGGGGAAACGTCAAAATCCAGGAATTCAACCGCGTTCTTTTCAAACGCGTTGCTCTCGCCCTCGAGCGAGCGCGTGAGCAGGCGCCACTCCATGCCGTTCTCCCAAGTCGGGGTCACGTAGCGTCTAAGGTTGCCGCCCGCGTCGGTGTAGTCGTACCCTTGGTCGCCGCACGCGAGCTTCGCGCCGCCTACCGCGATCGGCATTTTCGTCCAGCACCGGCCTCCCCCAACGCGCACGGGCAGCCCGAGGATATTGTACTTATACTCGTGATTTACCTCCGCGGGGGAGCGCACGGTGTCATCCTCGGCGTCCGCGCCGACGACGCCCCAGGAGCCATCTTCGCGCCGATATGCCGCGCCCTCTGGGAGCGTCTCCTTCGCGCGGTACGGGTCCTTCAAAATGTCCGGGCAACTGATCCACCCTGCGCGTAGCGATGCCTCCGACATATCGATCGTGTAAGGATAAACGACACCCCAATGCCGTGTAGGGTTGAGGTTCATGGGAACTTTGTTCGTGCAGCGCACCCATTCCTCGTCACCCGCGTCGGTGGTCCGCGCGAAGTACGTGCCGACGTAGTCATGGTTGCACCACGACGGCCACGGTTGATTGCGCTGCGCCCCGCGCCGTTGATATCGTTTTTCGTCGGCGCAGACGTTGGAGTAGATGAAGTGCACGACGCCGTCTTTTTCGTAAAACTTCAGCGAGTACGCCTTCCCTCTCCGCCGCGTGTTCCTGAAGAAGCCGAGCATCTGCTTCGCGTTCAGGGGCGGTCCCCCGGGGTACGGGCGGATCACGTCCAGCGGCTCGAGCGCGTCCAGCCGCGTCTGCCCGCGCACGGGCGTGGGTTTGTACCCCCCCTTGGGCTGGCCGTACTTCATCTCTGCTTTCGCATCCTCCTTGGAGACGGCGTGCGCGTTGGCGCCGACGTAGCACGACGAGTTGTGATCGCCGCAGTTCTCCATCCGACGCACGCTCTCGTGCGCGGTCTCGACCACTTCCGGGCCCGCGTCTTTATTCCCGAGCAGCGACGACGCGAAGAACCTCCCAAGGTTCTGGGAGGACACGGTCAATACGAGACACGAAGTGAGGGTGACGACGGCGAGGGAGAAGGCGGTGCGGCCGCGGTGGGGCGATCTTTTGGGGGAAATGTGCGGCCGCGATCTCGACCCCCTTCCCGACAGCAGTGGGGTGTCTTCCGACGCGACGGCGACCTCGGCGCGTTCCCCCGCCCAGTCGCGCGTGCTCTCTGCCAGAGATCGCCCCATCCTTCCTTCAGACGTTTCTCGCAAACGCGTCCCTCGTGGATGTGCCGCGCTCGTGGTGGTGAGATGCGAAATCCCCCCGCCCCGCGTTATCGCGCGACGGAATCAGAGAGATCAAACAGTCTGCGCGTGGGCGGCGATGCGGGAACTTGCGTTCGCGTGGCGTGGATACGATCCGTGATCTACCCTATCCGGGTTGGTGTATACACGAGCGGCGGCGGCTGCGGCGAGCGGCGGCGCGTTTGTTTGTCCGAGGGGTAAGGGCAACGACTAGGGTTCGTGCGTTAAATTGTGTAACCTCCTTTTCGTGTGATTTTCTCACGACTACGTGTATCTTCACTTTGATAGCTAGCCAGGGTGTCAAAATAACTTTTTTGCTTTCAGCGTTGGTCGATGTATCGATCAAACAAAATAATTCATCGCGTTTTTTCAAACGATACTTGACCGAGGCGCAACTTCAAGCGCGCGTCTTGGGCGGTGTGCGGGGGTAAGTGAAAACTACGGGGCTTTCCTAATTTGGGAGATCAGTCAAGTTCAGTCATTTCCAGATTTCAGGCGATTTTTTGGGCAAAATGGGGGTCAGGCGACCCTAGACCAAAAACACGGGGAATCGGCCAGGCAGACCCAAAAATGATGGTCTTTGACGGCTTTGAAAAATACTATACACCGAGAAAGTTCCGTCATTCCTATATCCTATGTTGACTATGTATATAATGTATACTCTTTTCTCCCTTTTATATAAATAGTGTAATCCGTAAAGGAGGGAGAGAGAGAACGGATTAGGAGTGTGAGAAAGAAAAAAAAAACATACCCTACAGCCAACATAGCCAACATAGGGTCTGGCGGTCTCCCCCCCTGTCTCAAAAACAGACCCCCCCTTTAGAGACCAAAAAAGCCCTACATAGATATTTGGGTCTGGCTTTCTCTCGTCCTCCGTGCTTGTTTCGTGGATGGTATGAAATGGGGTCTCACAGAAGGCTCACAGAAGGTATAGAAGCCCCACAGAAGACCCCCGATTTTCGATGATTTTCGTGTGATTTTCTAACCCCCCAAATTGGATGATTTTCGTGTGATTTTCTAACCCCCCAAATTGGACGATTTTAACCCCCGAAATTAGATGATTTTCGTGTGATTTTCTAACCCCCGATTTTTGGTTTTGCGACCCCCGATTTAGGTGGTTTTCCCGTGTTTTTGAGGTGTTTTTCAACAGCTCAAAAACACTTCGCAGGGCTTAAAGAGGTGCTACAGAGTTCCGTGATATTTGCGTCAGCGAGGTTCACGGAGATTTGTAGAGGTCTGGGTCGCTACGCTCCAGATACGCCCCCGAACTCCCGTGATTTTCGTAAGGTTTTGGTCTTATTACAAAGCTATAAACTACCCAAGAACTCCCCAATCGTCATCGTCTTCAATTCAGGCTCAAGACCACTTCCGTCGGGTCTAAAGCGGTCAAAAGTAGCCCGACAAAACGGACATTTCCAAAGCTCGTGCTTGAGACCTGGCAGTTCATACTTCGGCTTGTAGAAGTCCTCCTGCGTCCAAGTTCCCTTCCAATTCTTCTCCACACAACAGCTACAGATGAAGTGGTCGCACTTCATACAGGTAATATTGGTGTCGTCAAACATCATCGTCGGCGTCTCCTTCCTCACGCAGTAAGGCACATCACAAACCTTCCCTGCCGTCTGCTTGTTTCGCTTATTTTTTTTGTTGTTCGGCATTTTTGGACTTATTTTTCGTTTTGAGGCGACCTCACTTAGGTTTCCAATTTTCATTTTTTTGGCTTGTATAAAAACCCTAAAATTGATACAAAAACACCTATTAAATTAGGTTTTGATAGGCGAGTACTACGCCCTTTAAGCCCTGAATTAGCGTTGATGCGACAGAGTTAAGGGTGAAATGAACCCGAAGGGTTCAACCCTTTAAGCTCCGTCAATTCACGCTAATTCAGGGCTTAAAGGGCGTAGTACAGTAAGGTTATTCTCATTCTGAGATCACGGCGTCGGTGTAGTAGGGCCTAGCTTACGCGGCGGGGGGTTGCGTTCCAGCAAAAGCAACATAAGAAAATACACCTCTTAGCCTAACACCACCGCCTCACGCGTTCTCACGTATTCTTCTTCTTCAGCGCAAAGTCCGGCATGACGAGGATCTGCTCCTTCGGAACTTTCTTGTTCGTGCTGAAGATCTGCAGCAGCGCGCTCGCTTCGTCGCCGGAGAGACCGGCCATGAGCACGGTGGTTTTTTTCGGATCCGCGCCGACGACGCGGTCAAAGTTCCCCCCCCCGCCGCCGCCGCCCGCGATCGCTTGCCTCACCGCGAACAACCCGGCGTCGAAATCGTCGTACGACGTCACGACCTTCGTTCCCCCCTCGCGCCAAGAATCCCACTCGCTGACGTACGCCGCGCTCTGCGAGTCCCCCGCGTGTAAATACAACAGCGTGACTGGGTTTTTCCCCGCGTGCGAGCTCACCGGCGGCCACTCGATGACGCTCCGTAACGGCCCCATCCCTCTCGGTCCGCCGGCGACGCACACGATCGCGTGCCCGCGCTCGATCGCGGACTTCAGGCAGTACTCCGGGAAAAGCGGGTTCTCGAACCCGCAGCCTTTCACCGCGGAGACGCGCAGACGCATCGGCGGTTGCGCGGCGGCGAAAAAGTTTTCATCCCCGTCGTCGCTCCCGGTGTCGAGCAGAAGCTCCACGACGCTGACGTCCGAGTTCGGCGCCGTGCTCCGCGCTCTGTACGGGCTCACCGAGATCGGCTTCGAGATCGCCTTTCCGGAGTCCACGTCGGTTATCGTGACGTACTGACCCGGGAGTTCGAACGCGTCGATCCACCGAGCGTGTTTAAACAGCGTCCCGGACGTGCGCTGGCGATGGTTCAAGAGCTCGTCCCCGCGCTCGTCCGCGACGCCGACGACGAGCGTTCGAAGCTTGCCGTTCAGCGACGCCGCGTTGTTCGCGATGAGCTCGCCTTCGAACGACTCGGGCGCGGCGCCGGCGTCCCCGGCCGCGGACGCGGACGCGGCGGTCGCGCCGCGACGCGTCGGGGACGATCGCGGTCCACTAACAACGCGCGCGCGCGATGACGACGACGACGACGCGCGGCGAGACGTCAGCGCGCTCGCTCGGAGCATCGCGCGCGCGGAGGGCGCGGAGGTTGCGATCGACGCCATGGCTCGCGTCCCGATCTTCGCGCGGTCGTGCTCGCGCGCGGCTCTGTGACGTCGCACGCGCTTCGGCGGCTTCGAAAACGAGGATCGATCACGTCTGGTCGTGTGATGACGCGGATATTCTTCGCGGATCTGATGTCACTCCTCGACGCGCGCCCGCGAGGGCGGCAGGGCGGCGCGCGAATCGCGGGATGCACGGCTGGAGCGCACCCGGCGCTCGAGCCGCGGCGTCCGTCCGCGCGAGCGACGGCGGTCGCGACGGCTTCGTCCCCGACGCCAGGTGCGGCCCGCTGGACGACGGCGGCGACGAGCTGTGGGGACGAGCCGCGATGGCGCGCGCGAAATCCCGGGACGCGTCCACGCCCGTGGAGAACGAGCTCGGGCTCATGCGAAGCGCGCGAAAGAAGGTGGGGCCGTACGCGTCGAACGAGACGCTGCGCTCGCACCTCAGGAGCGCGCGGGGGAAGCTGCACTGGGCGGTGAACGGGTATTTCAGAGCGGCGGTGTTGGAGAGGCTCGACGCCGGCGGCGCCGCCGCGGACTTTGAACCGCGCGGCATCGTGACGACGGGGGCCCCCGACTTTGCATCGCGCGCGGAGGGCGACGAAGACGACGGCGACGACGAAGACGACGACGACGACGCGTCGACTTCCGCGCCGCCGCTGCCGCCGCTGGTCTGGGAGACGATGCTGTCGCGCGTCCCGCCGTCGGACGTCTGCGCCGCCGCCGCCGCGTCGAAGACGGCGAGGGACGCGTCGCGGTCCGCGCTCGTGTGGCGGCGGCAGTACGAGCGTCGATGGGGTGCTCACGCCGCCGCGAGGGTCGCGAGCAGGGGGGTTGCGAGTCGAGGGGTCCCGGCGAGGAGCGGGGTGGTGCGCCGAGGCGGCGAGGGGTTCGACGGCGCCGGGCCGGAACCGCGGGACGCGGAGGCGGCGGCGGCGGAGAGGGGCGCGGCGACGGAGCGCGCGGCGTTCGCGACCGTGGACTGGCGCGCGGCGTACAAGCGCAGGCACGAACAAGAGCGCGACATGACGTGCCCGGAGTGCCTCTCGTGTAAGGTGATGCCGATCGTGTACGGGTTCCCCTCCCCGGCGCTCGTGACGGCGCTGAAACGGAGCGAGGTGCTCCTCGGCGGCGACTACCTCGTCGAGGGCGATCCGAGCTGGGCGTGTCAACTGTGTCAATCGAGGTGGCGCGCGTGGCCGTTCGCGTGGCCGGACCCGGGGGACGTGCGCGCGATCAAGGCGGGGATCGTTCCCCACCCGGGCTTGTCCGGGGAGAGCGGAGGCGGGAGAGGCCGAGGCGCGGACTTGGACGACGTCTCGCCGTTGCCGCGCTGGGAGGAGACGAACCGGCCGCCGTTTCTGTCGCCGCCGGCGCCGGAGGACGACGTCTCGGAGCCGTGAAGAGCACAGCGTGCGATCTGCGATCTGCGAGTTGTTACACGTTGCATAAGTTACAGGCGAGGGTACAACTAATCACCGCGCGCGCGGCGTGTCGTCGTCGCGTCACACCTTGTACGTCGCCCAGAGCGGCGCCAAGTCCACGTTGCCTCCGCACAACACGACGCCGACGCGAACCGTCGCCTCCGGGCTCTCGCGCGCGCGTAAGAACCCCTTGAACTGCTCCGACAACGCCGCGGCTAGACCGACCGCACCGCTCGGCTCGACGACGAGCTTCATCCGCTCGTAAATCAGCGCCATCGCGCGCACGATCTCCGGCTCGGTCACGGTCACGACGCCGTCGACTTTGTCCCTCACGATCGGCCACGTCAGCGCGCCCAGCTTGGCCCGCAATCCGTCCGCGATCGTGTCCGGCGGCGGCATGTCGGACACGAGCCGTCCCCGCGCTTTCGACGCCGCGACGTCCGCGCGCGGTGTCGTGGACGCCCCGCACGGCTCCGCGGCGACGACCGCGCAGTTCTCGTTGATTCCCTTCACCGCGGCGGCGACGCCGGCGATCATCCCTCCGCCGCTGACGGGGACCAAGACGACGTCCAGGCCCGGGACTTGCTCCATGAACTCCAATCCGATCGTGCCCTGGCCGCATATCACGTGCGAGTGGTCGTACGGCGGTATCAACGTCGCGCCCGTCTCGCGCTGTATCCGCCCCGCCGTCGCCTCGCGGTCCGGCACGGTAGCCTTGCAACGGGTCATGATCCCCCCGTACTCGTGAATCGCGTCGAGTTTGCACGCGGGCGCGCCCTCCGGGACGACGATGTGCGCGGGGATGCCGATCGTCCGAGCCGCGAGCGCGAGCGCGCCCGCGTGGTTCCCGCTGCTGTGCGTCACGACCCCGCGCGCGCGCTGGTCCTCCGTGAGCTGCAGCACCGCGTTCATCGCGCCTCGGTACTTGAACGCCCCGCCCTTCTGAAACGTCTCGCACTTGAAGGACACTTCCACGGGACCGCCCGCGTCGAACGCGACGAGGTGGTCGATCGTCGAGCACGTGTGCACCGGGGTGACTTTCGCGTACGGCTCGATCCGCGTCCGCGCGTCGCGGATGAGGTCCAACGTCGCCGCGTGCGGCGGCTCCATGGCCACGACGACCGCGACGGCGCGCGAAATCTTGTGCCGACTTCGCGCTTCGTCGGCGGATCCGAGCTCAAAGGGTTTTTGATTTGCGGCGGAGATCTCTCCTCGCACAAGACGGCGCGCGCCCACGATGGGTAAGAAGGACGAGACCCCCGAAGAGCGCGCGGCGAGGAAGGAGAAGGAGAAGAAGGAGAAGAAGTCCGAGAAGAAGGACAAGAAGGACCGCGACGAGACCCCGGAGGAGCGCGCCGCGCGTAAAGCGAAGAAAGAGGCGAAGAAAGCGGCGGCCGATGCGAAGCCGACGAAGCAAGCGCCGCGCGGTCCTCCGCCCGGGCGCCCTCCGCCGGTCCTGAAAGGCCGCAAAGCCGACGCCGGGTACATGGACGGCATGGACCTCCCGTCCTCGGAAGGCAGCGGCGACGAGGGCGAGGCGATCGAGCGCGAGGAGAAGACGATCGTCCTCGGCGGCAAGACGGAGAAGGAGGAGCGGAAAGCGAGAGCGAAAGAGCTCGAGGCCGCGCGCAAGGAAGCGCTCGCGAAGGAGCAAGCGATGGCGGAGGACGACGACGCGTTCACCGTGCGAACCGCCATCATGAGCGACGAGCAGAGGGAGCAGATGGCCAACACGAAGGACATCAAGATCGACGGTTTCTCCGTCAGCGCGCGCGGGAAGGAGCTTCTCGTCAACACCGACCTGACGATCGTGCACGGGCGCAGGTACGGCCTCGTCGGTCCGAACGGGATGGGGAAGACGACGATCATGAAGCTCCTCGCGCGAAGGAAACTCCCGGTGCCGGACTTCATCGACATCTTGCTCGTCGAGCAGGAGGTGGTGGGCGACGATCGCACGGCGTTGGAATCCGTCGTCGCCGCGGACGTGGAGCTCGCCAACTTGCGTAAACGGAAGATGGAGCTCGAGTCCGCGATGGAGGCGGTCGCGCGAGGGGAGGAGATGGGCGGCGAGGAGGGGCACAAGACGCGCGAGGACGCGCTCGCGCGCGCGCTCGCGGCGTGCAAAGTCAGCGAGGACGCGGAGAGCGGCAACGGCATGCGCGGCGCGCTCGCGGTGAAAGCCGCGCTCGAGGAAGCCGGGGAGATCAACGAGGATAACTTCGACCTGAGCGACCAGCTGAACAAGACGTACGAGCGACTCGACGAGAAGGGCGACGCGACCGCGGAGGCGAGAGCGTCGAAGATTCTCCACGGTTTAGGGTTCACGGTGCCGAGAAAGGACGGCAACAGCGGGCCCGAGCGGTTCAGCATGCACAACACGACCAAGTCCTTCTCCGGCGGGTGGAGGATGCGCATCTCGCTCGCGAGGGCGCTGTTCATCGAGCCGACGTGTTTGTTGCTCGACGAGCCGACGAACCACCTCGACTTGAGAGCGGTCATCTGGCTCGAGGAGTACTTGATGCGGTGGAAAAAGACGCTCCTCGTCGTGTCGCACGATCGGGATTTCTTAAACTCCGTCTCCACGGACATCATCCACCTGCACGACCAGAAGCTGTCGCAGTACCGCGGCTCGTTCGAGTCGTTCGAGGAGATGTACGAGCAGCGACGCAGAGAGGCGAACAAGGCGTTCGAGAAGTACGAGAAGCAGATCAAGCAAGCGAAAGCTGCGAAGGGCGGGCAGGCGAAAGGGAAACAGGCGGACGTCAAGAACCAGGCGAAGAAGGACGCGGAGAAGAAGCAGCAGAAGAAGGGGAACAAGGGGATGATGGACGACGCGGAGGACGACGGCAGAGGCGAGTCCGCGGCGCCGAGGAAGTGGACGGACTACGAGGTGGAGTTCCACTTCCCGACGCCGACGGAGCTCCCGCCGCCGTTGATGTCCTTGACGGACTGCCACTTCAAGTACCCGAAACTCGAGGGGTTCGCGCTCGAGAACTTGAACCTCGGGATCGACATGGGGACCAGGGTCGGGATCATCGGCCCGAACGGCGCGGGGAAGTCGACGCTCATGAACCTCCTCGCGGGCGACCTCGAGCCGACGAAGGGCGACTCGCGGCGGTCGCACAAGCTTCGAATCGGTCGGTACTCGCAGCACTTCGTGGACGTTCTCTCCATGGACGAAAACCCGGTGCAGTACCTCCTGCGGTCGTACCTCAAGCCCGAGGGCGGGTCGTACAAGCCCGAGGAGATCCGCGCGAAGCTCGGGAAGTTTGGTCTTCCCGGACACAACCACCTCACGCCCATCGTGAAACTCTCGGGAGGGCAAAAGGCGCGGGTCGTGTTCACCGCGATTCAGCTCTCGAACCCGCACATTCTGCTCATGGACGAGCCGACGAACCACCTGGACATGCAGTCCATCGACGCGCTCGGGACAGCGCTGGACGAGTTCGACGGCGGCGTCGTCCTCATCACGCACGACGCGCACATTTGTTCCAAGGTGTTGGACGCGGAGACGTCTGAGATTTGGGTCGTGGACGAGGGCACCGTGGAGAAGTTCGACGGCGACTTCCAGGAGTACCGCGAGAAGCTCGTGAAAGAGATCGCCGCGGAGCTCGACGCGGAGGAAGTTTAGGGGCGGTGAGAGTGAAGACGAAGATAACAGAGGGGCGGTCACGCGTGGCGTTTCGTTAGTAACAAACCGGCCGAACCTAACGCGTACGCCCGCGCGAGTCGTGCCTCCGTTCGTCCGTCCCTCCGTTCGTCCGTCGTCCGCCGACGACCGAACGCCTACAACGTCTTCAGGAGGTACTCCAGCGCTTGCTCCTGCGTCTCCCCGTTCGATACCAAGTAATCCACCATCTTCCGCATGTTTTCGTTCGGGTCCAGCCCGAGCATGTTCGGCCGTCTCGACACCGCGGCGACAACGGCGTCCGCGTCGAGGCCGAGCTCGCCGAGATACTCAAACAGCGGCCGCAATCGTCCTTCCACGCTGTACGCCAGCGTCGCCGGGTGCGCGTTCACGAGCTTCCCGACGTCCGCGGCGCTGACGCCCTTGGACTCTAAGAACGCGACGACTGCGGACATCTCCTCCACGCCGAACGGCGCGTCCGCGGCGCCGCCTCGCTTTGCGTTTTCGTACTCGAACCACTCCGACGCTTCGCTCTGGACGCGCAGCGCGTTCACGCGCGGGACGCCGAGCGCTTCGAGGTACTCGTACACGTCGATGTTGCTCTTCTCCGAGGTCATGCGGTAGATCCGCTGCACGCCCTGTCGCCCGGGGCGCAGGCGCGCGGTCGTCGTCGTCGCGACGGAGGACGCGCGCGTCTCGCGCCGCCGCCGGAACGATTCGGAGGGCAGGGTCGTCGACGTCGACGAAATGATGAATCTCGAGCGTCCCGCGCGCAGGCGGTCCGCGGCCGAGGACGACGACGCGGAGGAGGAGGAGGACGCGGTCATCGACGCGACGACGCGCGATGCGGCGGAGGAGGACATGACGGTCGGCGTGCGGTGGAGACGACGCGCGCGACGTCGGCGTGTCTCGAAGTGACGAACAGAATGCTTGCAGTGCGCTTTTCGTCATCCGGGGACATGACGGATTTCGTCGAAAAAGAAATTTTATTTCACGCGGCAGTACACGAACACCTCGCCATCGCGGTCCGCCATGATCCGAAAGTCCTCGTCCACGTACCTCACGAACGTGCTCGCGGTCGGCGCTCGACCTTTGTTCCACGGCAGCAATCGCCACACCGCGCCGACGGGGTAGTCGCGGTCGAGCAAGAGGTTCGGAAGCAAGACGGGCCACGGCCGCGGTATCCCTCTGCACTCCTCCACGCGCGTCTTCACGAGCTCCAACGACACCTCCCCGGTGCTCGCGTCGACGTTCACCTTCTCCGCGAAGGATATAATCCTCCCGCCGAACGTCGGCAGGAGTTTGAACCACCCCAGGATGGGAATCACCGTCAGCGCGAAGAGGATCGTGTCGAAGTAGCTCTCCATCGTGCCGCCGGCGCCGCCGGCGACGTCGATCTTCTGCGCGACGCGTCCCACCGTGGACGCGCCCCAGGACTTCACCTGCAGCTCGTGCAGGCGGAAGAACACTTCGCTGGATTTCTTATCCCCGAACATGTTGTCCCCGAACGCGTCTTGGATCGCCATGAAGAACGGGGACGAGCGGAACAGCTGCTTCGTCGCGAGCACGCACTCCCACTCGCCGTTCAACAGGTTCACGTCCTCGACCGGGCACCCGGGGCGGTCGGCGGAGATGAACGCGTTCGGCGTCCTCGTCTTCACGAGCGCGTCCACAGCCTCTAAGATCTCGTCCCTGTGATCGCGGTTGTACTCGTCCAGGGGCGCGTACGCCGCCTGCTGGAACAGCAGCTGGCCTCGATCGGTGAGCGCGCTCAGTCGCAGGAGCCGCATCTTGATCTCTTCTCTCGTCGGCGTCGTCGTCGTCGTCGTCGTCGCGGGCGGGGAGGACGCGGACGCGCGGCATCGGAGCGAGGAGGACGCCGAGCGCGCGGTGCGTCGTCGCGCCGCGCAGGTCGCGCTCGCGGTGGAGGAGGACGCGGAGAGGCTCAGCATCATCGCGTGGATGTGTGTCCGTGTGCTTGCCGTGTGAGAGATAAGATGACGCGAACCGACGTGTCCGGGTCGCGCGGCAGTCGAGAGTCGCGAGCAGCGCGAGCTCACTGATGACCTCTCTCGCTGCGCGCCATCCACCACCGAACGCGCTTCGAATCGGAGCGCGCGCCAGACCGACCCGCGCGACGCCGCACGCGTCCCGGCACGACCGTCTCTTCTGAAGATGGCGGCGCGGTACCAGAAAGCGTTCAGCATCCCCGATGGGTTCCCCCAGATCCTCAAGGCGTTCACGCGCGAGGTGCGAATCCGCGATGCCCCGTTTTAGCCCGCCTCCAACCGCATTTGGGCGTGTAATTGACCCCCTTCCCCGCGATCGATCGCGGCCTGACGCCTCACGCCCTCCCTTCCCTCGACGAACGCGCAGATCCTTCGATCGCAGCCGGAGAACATCTACGAGTTCGGCGCGGACTACTTCGCCGAGCTCTCGGAGAAGAACGCGGCCGCCGCGCGCGGGGACGGGGACACGGACGCGGGCGATTCCGAGGAAGATTACACCCCGAGGAGGACGCTGTACGACATGACCGACGACGAGCTCAGCGAGTTCATCATGGATCAGTTCATGAAGTACGACACGGACGGGAGCGGGTACTTGGACCGAAAGGAGTTCAAAGCCCTCTTGACCGGGACGGAGATGGGCCTCTCGAAGAAGGACGCGCGGCGTCTTCTCTCTGAGGCGGATGAAAACGACGACGGCGTCTTGGAGTACACCGAGTTCGTTCCGATCATGACCGAGATCGTGAGCAACATGAGAGCGAAAGAGGTGGCGCGCGAGATGAAAGAAGAGGAAGAGGACGATGCAAGGGAGCAGGTGCAGTACCACCTCCTGCACGGGATGCCCAGGGAGGAGCTCGAGGAGATGATGGAGCGAATCTTTTCAGACGCGGACGCGGACGGGAACGGGACTCTGGACAGGAAGGAGTTCTCGAAGTGTCTGCACTCCGCGGAGCTCGGGCTGACGCGGAAAGAGATCAACCTGCTGTTGAGCGACGTGGACGTGGACGACGACGGTTTGGTGTCGTACTCTGAGTTCGCGCCGTTGTGTTTCGACATTCTCGTGGAGAGGTTTAAAGACGACGTCCTCGCGGAAGCCGCGCTCGAGTCCGCGGACGCGCTCACGATGGCGCTCATCGAAGAGTTCCAGAGGAAGGAGACCACGATCGGCGGCAAGGACGAGCCGCTCGGGAAGATGCATCGCAACCTCGTGAAGCAAGCGCTCGTCGATCTCAGCGCGGAGTTCCTCGGGCTGTCCAAGCTTCAGATCACGGCGATCATGTCCGAGGCGACGACGATCGAAAACGACGAGGTCGACTACGAGATCTTCGCCCCGAGCGCGGCGCGGATGATCTACTCCATGGTCGACACCGCGTCGCAGGCGCAGAGGGTGAACGCGATCGCGAAGCTGTCGAACACGGAGGGCGCGCACGTGTTGCACCAATCCGACCGCGACGACGTGAGAGAGCTCATCGCGTTGGCGTTTCAAGACGCGGACGTCGAGGGCAGAGGCGCGCTGGACCGGGACCAGGTGTACGACATCTTGAGCGACCTCGGCGCGAACTCGCTGGATTTGAAGCCCGGGGAGATCAACGCGCTCGTGAGCGCCGTGGACGAGAACGAGGACGGGGAGGTGACGTACGCGGAGCTGACGGATTTCCTGTGCAAGGTGCTCGAGCATCTCTCGAGGGAACGGTGGATCCAGGAGGTGGCGTTCGGGGAGCACGGGTTCGAGGAGGGCGACGACGGGGAGGAGTACGCGGACGACGACGGGAGCTACGAGAGCGCGTGAGGCGCGAGCTGAGGGTTGTGAATACGAACACAAGTTGTCGCGAACGCTCGACCGACGGACGCCCGCGCGCGGCGAGCGATAAAAATGTCGCTCAGAATCTCGTCAAACTCAAAATTCGATCCCGCGGGAATTGCCCTAGATGAGATGGATCGTTCCCGCCCTCTCGTCGATCGCACTTCACGCGGCGCGATGGCGGAGTCCCCGATGGAGACCGCCGCCCCCGGCGAGACGCCACCCGCGGCGGAACCCATCCCCGACGATCCGTCGCGGGTTAAAGGCAAAGAGCTCGTCGTCCCGATATGTTACGGCACGTGCGCGTACTGGCTCGGGAAAAAAGCGGACGAGTACCACTCGCACAAGTGGACGGTGTACCTTCGAGGCGCGGAGCACGAGGACCTGTCGCACTGCATCGAGAAGGTCGTGTTCAACCTCCACCCGTCGTTTAAAGAGCCGGTGCGGGTGTTAGAGAAGCCGCCGTACGAGGTCACGGAGACGGGATGGGGCGAGTTCGAGATCGGCGTCACCGTGCACTTCGCCTCGGACGCGGGGGAGAAACCGTTAGAGCTCTCCGCGCCTCTGAAGCTGTATTTAGAAGACACGGAGAAGGGCAAGGCGGAGAGCAAGGCGGCGAAGAAGCCGGTGGTGAAGGAGAAGTACGAGGAGATCGTCTTCCACGAACCGAGGGAGGAGTTCGCGAAGAGGATCGAAGGGCACAAGCCCAAGAAGGCGCCGGAGACGGAGATCACCCCGGTGCTCGGCAAGCGAGACGATCGCGACGAGCTCTTGAAGATCGCGACCGCGAGGAAGGTGGTCGCGGAGAGAATCGGGGTCGTGAAGCAGCAGCTCGACGCGCTGAGTTGAGCTTAGTCGATCGCGCTTCGTCCGTCGTAACAAAGCCGCGGACGCTGCTCCTAATTAATTCGCGACGTTCGCCTCGTTCTATGATACTCTACTAGTACAGGCCTCCCAACACCGTCGAGAGCGCGTTCGGCCCGTGCTTCATCGCGTCGATCGCGTTCCGTCCGTACCCGTTGTTCGGATCCAGCAGCGCCATGTACACGAGCGTGTACGCCTCCGTCACCGCGGACGCGAACGCCGCGCGCGCGTCGGCGCGGATCCTCGGCGCCTTGATCTCGTCGAAATTTGGAATCGGCGCCGTCGTCTCGCTCACGGCGTCCACGAGCGCGTCGAGCGCGCGCCCGACGGCGTCTAGCGCGAGCGCGGGGTCTCTCGCCATGACTTGCGTTTGCGCGCTCCCCCCCGCGCCGCCGCCGCCGCCGCTCTGTTGTTGGTACAGCGACATGAGCTCGCGAATCTCCGCGAGGCCGGCGGAGTGCAACACTCGCGTGGACTCGTCCTCCGCCGCTTTCCTCGTGAGCGCCGCGATCTTGCTCGTGAGCTTCTCCACGAGCGACGTCGCGCGCGGGAACGGCGTCAACACCTGCGCGACCGCGTGCGCGCAGTTGATCGAGTACGCCTCCTTCGCCCACCTCTTCGCGTGCGCGGTCGGCAACGGTGCGAGCTCCGTCCCGGTCGCCGCGACCGCGTCCCGGTGACGCTTCACCTGCGCTTCGATCATATCCGCGCTTCTATCGCACGCGTCGATCACCGGGTCGATCACGGCAGATAGCACGTCCGCGGTGGACGCGTCCGCTTCCGCGCCGTCCGCGCCCCGCGCGCCGTCGTCGAACGTGGACGACAGCGCGGTGAGCAACTCCGCGGCTTTGTTCGCCGCTTCCGTCACCGCGGCGGGCGCGGCGAGCGTTTCCGTCGGCACCGGCGGCGACGCCCTGAGCGCGTCGGCGTCTTTTTGTATCATAGACTCGAACGTCATCTTCGCGGAGGAGCCGCACTCGTCGATCGTCGCCGCGAGCCCGGCGTCGGCGCCGATTATCTTTACCATCACGCCGCGGTAAAACGTCAGGAGGTTCCCGAGCTTAAACGCGACGAGCGCCGGCGGCGTGGACGATAGGACCTGCTCGACGCGGACCTTGAACGGCCGGCACACGCCGTCGAGGATGCGGTCGAGGACCTTCGCCGGGTCCGCGAGCTCGTCGTCCTCGTCCTCGGGCGGCGTGGGCGTGCTCGGCGCGTTCGGCGACGCCGCGTTTGGTCCGTCGCCGCCGCCAGTCTCCGCGCCGTCGCCGCCTCCTTCGCGCGGCGTCTCCGCTAACAACAGCGCGTCCACGAGCTCCTTCTCCCCCGCGGTGGCCTGATGCAGCCATCCTAGCATGTCGCCTACGTAACGTAACGGATCAGGCGCGTGCGTTTCAATCGGCACCGGGATCCCCCCCGGCCCGCCCCTCGTCAACGCGTTGATGAACCGCCGGAACAGCGCGTTGTGCCGCGTCCGCGACACCTCCTCGACGCAGTACTTGTGCAGCACCGGCCGCGCCCTGAGCGCGCTCATCGCGCGCGAGAGCAGCTCCGGGACCTCCCCGGCGTCGTCCTCCGCGAGCGCGGCGCACTCGCCTTGGACCCAGCGGCACAGCCTCTCGTGCGCGGCTTCCTGATGCGACGCCATCTGATCCATCAGCTCCATCCCCGCGCGCTGATGCCGCGTCCGCAGGAGCGCGCGGCAGTTGGCGTGAATCTCTTGCACCCTCGCGAGCGCGTCGAAGAACGCGCCGGTGACGTCGTCGCTCTTCAAGAGCGCGATCTCCTCGTCTTTGAGTTGGAAGTCGACCGAGAACGTCTTGATCGTTCGCTTCCGCTCCTCGATCGCGCGCTTCTCTTCCGCGAGCCTGCTCGTCTCTCGGAGCAGCACGCGCGTCCTCGCGCGGCTGCTGTCGAGCGCGCTCGAGATCCTCTGGCACCCGGCGAGGAGGCCGTCCAGCTGCGCGTCCACCTCGGACAGCGCATCGCGCGCGTTCGAGCTCGCGTCTAGGAACTCCCTGTTCACGTCCAGGCCGCGACGCTCGATGCTGAGTCGCAGCCCGCGCCTCGCCTCCGGGGTGTTCTCGGTGTAGAACTCGGAGAGGCCTCGGAGGCACGCGACGATCTCGGGGGAGTCCGCGCGCGTCTCGAGGACCTTCTTGACCTTGCGCGCGAGCCCGGGCGCGAGCGCCATCGTCGCGCGGATCCGCGGGGCGTCGCGCGCGGGGGCACTGACGACACTTCAAACACTCCATGGGAAAATAAATCGGACGCGGGCGGACTACAGTACGGACTCGAGCGAGGGCTTCTCTTTCTTTCCCGTTCCCGGCGGGCGCGATCCTCACACGCGCACGCGCACGGGGATCGCGTCACGCACGCGAAACCGCGCGCCGGGTTCTCCCACTCGACGCCACACGCCGTCGACGTCCACGCGAACGCGAGAGGTCGACTCGATCGCGCGGACGCTCAGCGCGAGATCCGCTCGCTCGCGAGAGAACGAAATTAATTAGGGTACGGAGACGACGAGCGTGATGAGCATGCAGAGCGCGCTTCGAACGATCGCGTCGCGGACGCTCAGAGGGGCGCAGCGGACGCAGACGCGGAAGATGGGCGCGGGTCCGCCCGGGGGGTTCTGGGCGGAGGGCGCGCAGCCGGAGGGCCACGTGAACGGCCGTTTGTTCAACGAGACCCCGCCCCCGCCCGGACAGAGCAGGAAGTGGGAGAGCTGGGAGGCGCCGTGGTACCTCGCGTTCGGGACCGTGACCGTGATGCTGGTTCTGGGGTTGAACAACAAGCCGAACACGTCGAGCACGGAGTGGGCGAAGGTTGAGGCGCAGAAGAGGCTCGACGCCGCGGAGAAATGAGCGCGCGATCGCGACGCGCGCCGCGATCGGTCGACGCGCGGCTGGGAGGGGAAACTCGAGGTGGGTGGAGGATAGGATACTCGCGTTGTAAAACAAAACCATTCGTCGCGCGACTCCCGCTCTCCCTCCCTCGCCGTGCTGTGCTCTGCTGTAAACCTAACGCCTGTACCTCGCGCGTTTGAAGTTGATGTACAGGTGAAAGATCCCGCGCTCGAACGAGCATCGGAACCCTTTCTTGTTACTGTACTCCCACTCCTTGTTCACGATCTTAAACGCGATGTCTTCGTACGGCGGCCCCGCGTGTATCCGAAGAATACACGTCTCCCCGTGCTTGCTCCCGTCCGGCATGATCGTGTACGTCGGCGCTTTGGTCTTGTCGATGAGGTCCGGGTAGAAGAGGTTGAACTTGTACCCCTGGACCGTCTTCGGCGGCGGGTTATCGTGGTCGTAGTGCGTCTGGTTGTACTTGTTCCACTCGTAGCCGGTGTGCACGCGGTTGAAGTACTTCGGCTTCCGCGGTCGGTACTTATCGTGCCACCAGTACACTTGCGACTCCAACGGCGTCTCGCCCGCGAACGCGACTTCCGCGCCGCCGCCGTCGCCCATCATCCTCTCCGCGAGCGCCCTGGACTTCCTCGCGGCTTCTTCCTCTACACGTTGTATCTTCTCCTGGTCGTCCGCGTCGAGATCCGCCGGGTCCTCCGCGGGGAGTTGAATCACGCCGCCCTCCCCGCCCCTGGCCGCTTGACCTTCTTTGTACGCGTTGAACGTGTCGCGCTCTTTGTTCCGCTCTTTGTACGCGCCCGCGCCGGCGACGTCCGCGAACCGCCCGAGCTTCTTCGCCCTCTCTTCCGCGCGCAGACGTTGCAACATCGCGTGGTCTTCCTTCTCGTCCACCACCTCCAAGTACTCCGGCTCGTCCTCCCTCGCGCGGATCGCCTCGGGGGAGAAGCTCCGGTCCGGGGTCCCCTCGGGCGGGGTTTCTCCGCGCGGGGACATCGGCTCCGGGGACATCGCGCGCGGGGAGAACCCGCCGTCGCCGTCGCCGTCGCCGTCGCCGTCGTCCTCGGACGCGTCCCCGGGGCCGGCGCCGCCCGCGGCGGCGACGCGACCGAAATCCGCGCCGAGGAGATCCTCGTCGTCCGACTCCGCCCCCGCCCCCGCGTCACCCGCGTCCGCGCCCGCGCCGCCCCTCGGCGGCGGCGGCACCTCCCTCGGCGCCGCCGCCGCCTGCGCGGCTCGCTGCGCGGCGTCGATGTTCCCGACCGTGACCCGGGCTTTATGCACGACGATGCGCTTCAACACGGCTTGCCAGTACTCGATCTCCGTCGCGTCCGGCGCGCGCAACGACGCTTCGATCTCGCCCTCGAGCTCCTCGAGCTCCCTCGTGTCCTTTCCGTCGAGCATGTCCTTCACGTCGCCCTCCACGGACGCGTGCAAGCCTTGATCTGCGATGTCGCGGGACACGTCGATCCCTCTCGCGCGCTTTCGCTCGGCGCGCTCGACGTCTTCGCGTCGCTGCGCGTCGGCGAGCTCGTCGTCGGCGACGACGAGCAGATTGCTCCAAAAGAATCGGTGCTCGTCCACCTTGTGGTCCAGCTCCAAGTACGTCTTGATGTCGTCCTTCAGTTCCTTCATCTCCGGGAGCGTCAGGCCGTCGAAGATCGCGAGCGGGTGCGCGCTCGCGTCGAACTCGCCGCTCCCGGGGACGGCGTGGAGGTTTCTCGACACGAGATCGATCGCCCTCGCTCTGCCATCCTTGACGCGAATCTCCGATCGCATCTTCGCCTGCAGCAGGTGGAACTCCTCCTCTTTCTTCTCCAACTCCACGGCCTCGATGAGCGCTTCCTCTCGCTGCATGATCTCGCGCTCCTCTTCCTTCTCCATCTTCTCCCGGTCCCTGGCCTCTCTCTGAAGCTTCACCTTCTCGATCTCTTTCAGTCGCTCCTTGTGCCGCTCTCGCTCCGCCTTGACGCCGAGCTCCTTGACGTCCACGCCCTTCATGATGCTCTTCTCGATCCTCTTGTGCCACACGAACCGCTCCGTGAGATTCGCGTCCCCGAACGGATTCTCCGCGTCCGTGTACCCGGCGATCTCGCCTTGTTTCAGGCGCGACGCGAGCTTCTTCGCCATCTTCTGCGCGCGCGCGCGCTTCAGATCTTCGCTGTCCTCGGATCCCGAGTCGCCGCTCGAGGACGAGGACGAGGACGAGGACGAGGACTCATGGCGTCGGGACTTCTTCTTCTTGTGCTTCGACGACTTCTTCGGTTTCTTCTCCTTCTTAGACTTCTTGCCGCCCATGTTTGCGCGTTCGACGCCCTCGCGCGCCTGCCCTCGCGCCGCCGGTTGTGAACGGAAAATTGTCGACGCGAGCGAGTCGAGTCGCGAACGCAGTCGCCGGATCGCGCGAAAAAAAAAACTGCAAGATGTGCCGCTGCAGAGGATAAGCGGCCGTCGCACTCCGGGAGGCGCATCTCACGTCCCACCGTCGAAGCGCAGACCACACACGATGTCTTACACTATCGCCGCCGCCTCCATCGTCGCGCCGAACGCGCGCGCGAACGCGCCCTCGACGAGGTCCGCGCGCGGATCCGATCCGTCCCCGCCACGATGCCGCCCACGTCAGCACGCGCGCGCGCGCTCGCGTTCTATCGACATCCGCTCTGACGACCGCGTTTCCTCCGTCGCCGCGCGCAGGAACCTCGCCGCGCGCGCGCGCGTCGCCGCCACCGTGTCCCCTCGCGTCGCGAACGTCGCTTCTTCGCGCGGTCGCCGCGCCGCGGTCGTCGTCCGCGCCGCGGAGGACCCGAAGAAGCCCGCGATCTTGCGCGAGAACGAGAAGGAGGCGTGGCTCTCGAAGGGCGAGAGGGAGGGCGAGAACCCGCTGAAAGACCCGATGGCGATGTTCGCGATCGGCGGGATCATGGTGCCGTTCATCATCCTCGCCGTCGCGGGCGCGGCGGGGTACATCGGCAACTGAGGAGCCGAGCGTCGGATCGCGCGCTCGCGAGACGCGCGACGTGGACGACCGGTTGGATTAGTGGAGTGGACTGCTTTGAAGTAATAAGCGGCGGGGGGGCCGACGCCGACGGCGGCGCAACCCTGATGTATTCGAGTTCTATTTCATACCCAGCTACGATTCTCTTCCGACGAACGACTCGCCTCACTTCCTGCGCAAGATCCCGCTCTCGTCTCGGCGGTACAAGTGCGAGTAATCGTCCGTGCTCTGAGACGCGAGTTGGATGTGCGTCGTGTCGTCCCTCACCTCTTGGAAATCCTCCTTGTCTTTCATGCGCGTCGCCTCGTACCTGAACGCCTTGTCGCGGACAATCTCCTCGCGCTCCATCTCCTTCAACGTGTCGTAAATTAACTTCGTCAACTCGTTGTAGTCCACGAACCCGTCCCCGTCCTCGTCCGCGGCGGCCATGATGCCCGCGACGTGCTTGTCCCCCAAGCCAAACTTTTTATCCCCGACGCTCTGTAAAATCGCGTACATCTCCATGCGATCGAGCGCGCCGCTGCCGTCGACGTCCGCGTCCGCGAACGCCTCGAGCATGACGGCCTCGATCTGCTCTTTATCCAGCGCTCTGAAACGCCCGACGCCAGTGAGGTCGTCTGCGCCGTGCGCGAGCGCGGTCGTCGCCTCCGCGCGTCTTCGCTGAGCGTCAAAGTCGATCATCGAGTGCATGATCTCCGCCGCGACGGTGGCGAAGAGTAAGTACCTGACCGTGCCGTCGTACGGGGATATCTCCGCCTCCGCGGCGACGCACACGAGCTGCGAGCGCGACAGGTTCACCTCCTGCGATTCCGTCACGTACGCCAGGCACGCTTTGACGTCCGAGAAGTGCAGCCGGCCGCTCCCCTCCGGATCCGCGGCGCGAAACGTCTCCACTAGCATCTTCGTTATCCCGTCCACGCTCTGCAGCGCTTCGTTCTCGAGCTGCTTGTTCTTCGCGCGCTCGACGAGGACGTCGAAGCACACGGGCGCGAACTCGCTGTATTCGATCAACCCGTCCTGGTTCGCGTCCGCCTCGGAGAGCAGCAGGTTTATCTCTTTATTGTTCAGCCCGACGTTCGCGTCCCTCAGCGCCCTCTCGAACTCGGTCGGGTCTAACGCGCCGCTGCCGTCGGTGTCGCACTCCGCGAAAATATCCCTGAGCATCTCGTCCAGCTCTTCTTTCCCCAAGCCCTTCACGAACAGCAGCGAGACGTCCTCCTTCACCGCGCCCTCGGCTTTTTCGCGGTTTCGTCGCGCCCTCGGCCCCGATTTCAACGCGCCGATGAGCTCGATCATGAGCGGGAGGAACTCCGCGTAGTCCACGTATCCGTCCTCGTCCGCGTCCGTCTCCGCCATGATCTCCCTGATCTCCCCCTTCGTCAGCTCCAGCGCGGTCGACCCCAGCACGCGCTTGAACTCGTGCCGGTCCAGGCGGCCGTTCCCGTCCTCGTCGTACGTCATGAACACCTCCAGCGCGAACTCGCTCAGCTCGCCGACGTCCATGTCCCATATCGACCTCCCACCCAACACCTCCTCCACGGTCGGCGGCGGCAACGACAGCTCGTACGCCTCCTGCTCGCCCGCGCGCTCGAGCCACGAGTCTAACCACTCGAACGGCTCGTCCGGTTTATCCGACACGACGTGCTCAACGAGCAGCGCGATGGAGCGTTGGATCCGACGGCCGTAGTCGTCGTCGAGCAGAGGTCCGGTGTGCGCGTCCTCGCGCGGGAGGCGCGCGGGGAACCGCGCGAGGCACTCGCGCAAGAAGGGGAAGATGAGTTCCGGGCGGAACGAGTACACCTCGTCCTCCATCGCGGTGACGACGTCGCGCAGGGAGTGATGCGCGGTGAGGGGCGCCTGGGTGGGATCCGGGTCGATTTCGCCCTCGAAACGAAACGCGACGAGCTTCGTGTCCAAGAACTTCTCCGCGAGCTTCCGTCGGCCTTCCGCGAGGAAGAACTCCAAGTCCGGCGCGTGCACCGCGTCGTACTCGACGACGGTCATGACGCCGCGAGGGTCGCGCGCGGGCGCTCCCGGCGTCGGTCGCGAAATGTGATTCTCTTCGCTCTGTTTTTTTTTTTTGGTGCCCCTTTTGGTTTCAGACTGCTGGCGCTGCGGTCGCGGTCGTCCAGTCGTCAACGAGAAAATCGCGCGCGGGCCGGCAGTCCAGCGAGACGCGCGGCACGCGATGGCGGACGCCGGGGACCGGCACAACGCGGACGACGTCCCGGACGATGACGAGCTGCTCGAGCCGTGGCAGCGCGTCATGCGCGAGAACGCGAGGAAGGCGAAGGTCGAGCGCTTCGTCGAGCTGTTGCGGGTGCGCGTCGACCCAGATCTATCGATCGCGCGTCGTCGTCAAATCTCGTCGTCGAGCGCCCTTCTCTCTAAGTATCTCTCTCTCTCTCATCGCGTCGTCCTTCTCACATCTTCTTCCTTCTGTCGACCACGTCGCGCGATCGCAGGGGATCTTAGGACCGGACGAGCTCACGAACCTCGCCGCGCTCGTGAGGGACATGGACGCGAAGCACAGGCAGAAGGTGGCGATGAAACGCTGGAGCGAGGAGGAGCGCGCGAGAGAGCTCGAAGACGCCGCAGCGCCCGGGGTGGTCGCGCCGCCGCGGCCGCCGCCGTCGTTCGGGATCCCGGGGATGCACGCTCCGGGGGTGGCGCCGCCGGTGCCGCCGCCGCGACCGCCGCCGTCGTGAGCGAGCGCGGTAGAGAAGACGTGTTAGTCTAGTAGAGTTAGATGAGTCGTCGCGGCGGTCGTTAAGTCGTCAAACGTCCAAGTCGCGGTGTCGCGCGACTTTCCTCTTGTCCGCTCCCCGCTGACCTTTGCGTCCCAGTCTCCGCAGACAGCACCGGAAACACGACCCGAGGCACGGGCAGTACGGCGCCACCGCGAGCACGCACGCGCGGACGCGAACCCACACCAACAGAGCGACCAAACCCCCCCCGAGCAGCGGCCCTAAGATGGTCATGTCCACGAACGGGTTATACGCCGCCACCTCCCACGCCCCCGCGGCGAGGTTCCACCAGCGCGAGTCGAACATGGACTCCCCCGGGGTGATGTACAGCTTCGGCGTGATCTCTAACATCCCGAACAGCGCCCATGACGCGAGCTCGAGTATCCCGACCTTGAACAAGAACCGGAAAATCACGATGCCGGCGATGGACCCCACCAGCAGCCCGTTCAACAGCCGCGCGTTGTACGACTGCATGAACGCCGCGCGCTCGCGGTTCGCCGTGCGCTCTAAGCGCGCGGCGTAAATCTCCCGCGATGGCCCGATGCATTTCTTATCCCAGATCGCCTTGCACGCGCTCGCCTCGTGCTCAAACTTGTGCAACGACGGCAGACGCATCGTCTGCAACGCGACGAGTCCGTCTTCGCACGCGCCGGCGCTCTGTTCGCACTCCCTCCCGGACGCGAACGCGTTCTTCTCGACGCGCGCGTCGTACATCTCCTGAAGGCGCGTCTTGAGAGACGCGGTCGTGACCCTCCCGCGCCCGAACCGCTCCTTCTTGAACGCAGCCGTCGCCGCGGACGCCGCGCGCTCGTGTTCGCTCCGAAGCGCCTCCTCGCGCGCGGGCAACGCGACGGATTCCAACGCGGCGGCGTACGTCCCGAGGTGCCGCTCCAGCGCGTCGCGATTGAACGAGTCCACGACGTTCCCCGCGGACGGGAAGTCGCCCTCGTTCAGCGCTTTCACGCTGCGTTCGATGAGCGCGGCGAGGGTGGGGCCGGTCATGTATTTCCCACCGCCGGCGCCGACGCCGCCGTTCCCGCCGCGATCGAGGAGGTCGCCCAGCCCGTCCTTCGCCTTCGCGTGCTCCAACACCAACTTCGACAGCTTCGTGCGCTGTTTCACGTACGTCGCGTCCAGCTCCGTGTCTTTCAAGTCGCACAGCTTCGTGCGCTGTAAGTGCGGCTGTTTCAACCCGAACGCGGTGGAGTTCTTCGCGAGCGCGGTGAGCGACGTCCGTATGCGATTCAACTCGTCCACGTGCTTGTCCCCCGACGGGTTGTTGACCGGTTTCAGCGCGTCCGCGACCATCTCCCGCACGCCGCCCTCGAGGAAGTCTCTCTGGATCAACCACATGAGCGAGTGCGGGAGGAACGTCCGCAGCTGCGAGTGCGTCGTCTCGTCGTCGTCGTCGCCGTCGCCTTCCCCGCCCACGCCGCCGCCGCCGCCGCCGCCGCCGCCCGCGCGCGCGAAAAATTCCTCCGCCAGCTCCACCGCGAACGACAGCTTCGCGATGTCGCTCTCCTTGACCGTCTCCGGCAGATTATACACCAGCACGGACGCCATGATGCTGCTCAGCGCGAATATCCGATCGTCGTACGCGTCGCTCATCCCCGTCGCTTCGAAGCCCTCCGTGTCCACGTACACGACGGCCGCGTCCGGCTCGCCCGGCGTCGAAGACTTCATCGTCCTCGGCTCTCCCCACACCCACACGCCCTTCGTCTCCGTCTGCCGCGTGTGCCCGACGCCGAAGCCTTCCCCGCACGGCACGCCGAGGAGTTGGTTCAGCAGGAACGACTTCCCGCTGCGGTACGGCCCGATGACGACGACGGGCGCGACCGGGCCTTCTAGCGAGCGAAGCATGTCGAGCCCGTCGCGCTGAGGCGTGAGCTTCGTGCTCTCGCCCTTGGACGGGAGGACGATCGGCAGCGGGCGGTGGCCGCCGCGGACCATGCCGGGCGCGGCGACGTCCGCGGCGGACGATCGCGTCGACGCCGCGCCGCGGATCGGCGCGGGATGGGCGGACTTCGGCGGTGGGGTCCGTCCGGCGACGCCGCGTCCGTTTCCCGGGTCGAGCTTTCGATGGACGCCGCGCTTCGGCGTCGGCGGCGTCGCCACCGCGCCCGTCGCGGCGGCGGGGGCGGGCGCGACGTCCACCGCGTCCGCGCCTGACATCAGCGCGATCGCGAGGACCGCGAGCAGCGGCCCGCGCGCCCGCATCTCGGCGTTCCGGCGTCGGTCGTTGTGTCGGGGAAGATGCGCGCGAACGGACAGAAATCAGTCGGGCGGAACAGCGAATAGATCTGATGGAGTGTTTGCACAAGCGCCTGGCCTCTCTAGCTAGACGCCGACGGACCCTTCGAACCCGAACTTCTTGAACGCGCCCGCGAGCAGCGAGTGCTGGTCCACCACGGCCGCGATCTCGTCCCTGATCTCGTCCGCGCCCTCGTCCGTGAGGAGCCGGTCGAGCACGGGCTCCCACGCCGGCGCCGGCGTCCGCGCGCCGTCCTCAGCCGCCGCGTCCGACGACTTTCCAAACCGGCACCGTCGGAGAATCACAAACGCGCGCGCGGACTCGATCATCTTCGTCGCGAGCTCCTCCTCCTTCCCGTCCTTCCGTTCTCTCTGCACGATCGCGCGCATCATCTGAAGCCTCGCGCGGAAGAGCATGTTCTGCCCGCACAGCGCCCCGAGCGCGCCGGCGTTTCCGAGAATCTTCGCGACCAACATCGTAAACTGCTTCGTCTCCGCGTTCGCGCTGATCTTCGTCCCTTTCGGGTCGTTCAACGGGCTCCCGACCATCCGCAGGACCTGGCACAGCGTCGACAGCAACGTCTGGTGCTGCGCGCGCGTGTTCCACGCCCTGAGCGCGGGGTGGAGGAGGTTGTGTAGCACCCCCGCGGCGGCGCCGGCGAGATCCGCGCCCGCCGCCGCCGCCGCCTTCGCGTCCTCCCCCCCGCCGCTCTCCGCGGCGATGATCGCGCACACCGTGTGCGTGAGCACGTCGAGCATCGTGTCGAACACCCCCGCGTCCAAGAACGCCTCCACCTTTTGGTCCTCGAAGAACCACGCGACGTCCCCGGCGGGCCGTTTCAAAATCTTCTCGAGGTGCGCCGACAGCCACGCGCCTACGGCGTTTACCGCGTCCACGCGCGCGCTCACCGGCTCCGAGGGCGACTTCGCGGTGAGAAGCCACCTCGCGTCGCCGGTCGGGCCAGCCTTCGCTTTCGGGTCCGCCGGCGCGTCCGGGGTGGCGAGGTTCTTCGCTTTCGGGAAGACGAACGGCTTGGACTTCTTCTTCAGGTGCTTCAGCTTCTTCGCGATCTCGGGGTTGGACCCGCCCGGGGTGTGCTTCAGCGAGAGCTCGAACGCCTCCATCGCGCCGTCGTCGTCGTCGTTCGCCTCGAGCGCGCACCCGCGCCGGAAGTAGCCTTTTTCCCACTCCGGTCGGAGCTTCACGCACACGTCCGCGTCCGACAGCGCTTGCTTCACCTGCGCGGAGGGAGAGAGGGACGGACGACGGCGCGCGTGAGAAAAAAGGCACGCGCGCGAGCGGGCGAGAGAGAGAGAGTTGACCGTGGGCACCCTCGGTCCGCGGACGCGCCTTGTTGAGCTTGAGGAACGACGCGCTTCGGTTGCTGAACACCGGGGCGAGCTCGACGCGCTCGGTCGCGTCCTTGCCCGCGGTCTGTGTCGATCGAATCGTCGAGCGAGGGGACGAGGCGGCGTCAGTCGAGCGAGCGAGCGAACGAGCGATCGATCGAGATCCAAAAGCGCGCGCGAAGAGAACTGAAGAAAAACGAAAAGATGACGCGAGGGCGGAGGCCGGGCGCGCGCCTTGATGGCCTTGGTGTACGCCGACGCGGCTTTCAGGAAGTCGCCGCCGCGGAAGTAGTCGTTGCCTTCATCCTTGAGCGCGGCGAGGTCGTTCGGGAGCGGCGGGATCGGGTCGGCGGAACCCATCGCGACGGGCGCGCGAAGGAGTGCCGATCGCTCCGATTATTTTCCGGTTCAAACAGACGATTTTTTGTTGAACGCGGCGGGGCGGGGGAACAAACAGAACGCCGTCGTCGCGGGTCGTTGACGCGCTCGAGCGCTGCCTACATCTCAGTCGCGCGCCCGCTGCCGCACGCGAAACCGCACCCCCTATCGCACTCCACCGCGTCCGTCGCAGTGAGAGTCGACATGGCGCACGGTGCGTCCCCCGCGACGCGATCCCCGTCCCCGATCTCGCGGCGGTTCGTCCCGCATTGGCTGGGGCGCGCGCTCGACGCCGTCCTCGAATTCGTCCTGACGTCCCCGACCGTCGCGCGCGCTCCCCCGCCGTCCTTCTCGCAGTGGCCAAACCCGCGCTCTCGCCCGTGGACACGAGCTCCCCGGGGGATCAGGCGAACTACGAGGCGTCCTCCCCCACGGCCACCTCGAACGCGGGCTCGGCGTGGCAAGACGCGGCGATCTCGCGCACGCCTCCGCCCGCCGCGCGCGAGGCGAGACGATCCATGTCGTTCGCCGAGCGGAGCAAAGCGAACGCGACGACGGAAGCGCCGACGGAAGCGCCGCGACCCGGCGGCGCGGAGCCGATGCCGAACGAGGGCAACCAGGTCGCGAACGTCCGCGCGAGCAACGCGCGATCGTCGTTCGCGACGAACAAGTCGCAGTCCTTCGGCGGAAAGCTCAAGTCCGCGACGGGCGGCGCCGCCGCGGCGGCGCGACAGATGCAGGAACGCCGCAAGAAGCAGCAGCGCAAAGTCCAGGGCGGGAAGCTCCTCCTGATGCAGCTTCAGGAGGAAGCGGGCGCGAAGGAGCCCGCGGTGATGCCCGCGGTGCTCAGAGCGCCGCCGCCAGACCCGCGGTACACGCAACCCACCTTCATGAGCGTGCTGAAGAGCAAGATGTTCGGACAGCCCGCGGTGGACCCGGTGAACGGCCGCGTGGAGCAGGGCGACCCGCACAAGATCAAAAAGTCCGCGGGGTACAAGTTCCGCGCCGCGAAGCGACGGGCGTGGCAGAAGAACACCGGGACGAGCAAGCGCGACGACGAGGACTTCAACACGCTGTGGGGCAGGGTGCAGCGTCAGGAGGCGCTCCTCAACTTGATCCAAAAGGACGGCAAGGCGCGTCCATGCTCACACTGGTCCCCATACGACCGCGTCCGCGTGGTGAACGCCGTTCCTTGAGGACTTTTCCCGGCGTGTATTTCTCTCCGCCCAGGGTCCCTCGCTTTCAACGCCCGACCTCGACGCCTTTCAACTCCACCACTGACGCCTTTCAACTCCGCAGGCGTACGCCAAAGCGATCGACGCGATGCACGCCGCGGCGAGGACGATGGCGGGGCACATCGCGGAGCTCACGGAGATGGACCCGGACGAGCCGTTGCCGGACCCCGGGCCGATATCTCCCGGGGGCACGGGGCCGGTGAGCCGAGAGGCGGTGGTCGATCGCGCCGCGCGTCTGACGGAGGTGATGGACGCGCTCGAAAACGACGTCAAACCGCTGTGCCTCGAGCAGCTCGACAGCGCGGTCGTCGCGCCGGTGTCGCAGCTCGTGGACGACTTCCCGGCGTACGCGCCGTGCGTTGATAAGCGTCGGGCGTACATGCTCGACGTGGACGCGTACGAGAGAAAGTTGGACAAGGCGCGGACGAAGAGCAAAGACCCGGGGATGGCGCCGCATCGAGAGGAGCAGTACGCGAGGGCGCAGAGACGATTCGCGCACTTCAGCGATAAGCTCGTGGAGGACTTGACGCTGTTGGACGCGAACCGGTTCGAGCTCGCGGCGTTCTTGTTGGAGGGTTTCATCGAGACGCAGGATTTCATGATGCAGCGGACGCGGGACGTGCACTCCGTGATCGTGAAGAAGTCCGCCGACTGACGAGCCGAACGACGACGGATGATTCCGCCGCGGGCTGGCGGGGGAGCCGCCGCCCGTCGCCGCGGGATCGATCCATCCGGGGGGGACGCGACGTGAACGTATCACTTTGTATTTAACTCGACCGACTCTATACATCGAGAGACGACCGATCACCGGAACACGCGACGCGCGGGCGGCGGGCGGGTCACTTTTCCTCGACCTCCTTCTCCTCCTCCTCCTCATCCGCGTCTTTGCCGCGTCTCGGCGGCTTCGCGAGACCCTTCACCCCGAGCTTCTCGAGCAGGTCGAACGCCTCGCCCAGCACCTCGACCTCGCTGTCCATGAGCGAGTTGAGGTCGTCCACCGCGCCGTTCATCGCCTTCGTGCGCGAGATCGGGTCCATGGCGTCGTCCTCGTCCGACGGGAACCCCGCGTCCGCGAACGCCGCCATCGCGGACGATATCTTCCCCTCCGGGTCCTCGGACGCTCGCTTTTCGTCGTCGACGTCGACGTCCTCCTCCGCGGCGCGCGCGAGGACGACGCGCGACGCGCGCGCGAGGGCGACGCGGGGGGCGAACGCGCGCGAGGACGTCGTCGCGCGCGCGGCGCCTCGCGAACGAGGCGCGGCGACGCGAACGCGCGCGGCGTGCGAGCACGCTGCGGCCATGGCGCGGACGATGTGTGCGGGGACGGACGCGGCGCGCATCGGTTCGGAAGCGGATGACGCGCTGGAAAGAAGAGAACGACGGAACAGGATAGAATGACGTCGGCGCACACCACGAGGCGCCGACGGCCCGCGAGACGCGTTTTCTCGGCGAGAAAAGCGCCTCGGCAGGTCATCGGGGAGTCGTTAGAAACCCAAGGCGCGCGAACGGAGCCGCGGCATCAGATTGCGCGCGACGCGTCGCGTCATGGTGTTCGTCTAGTCGAGAGTAGCTGAGGGGCTTCATTCAGTGCCGAGGACGGGCGCGCGCGCGATGACGACGCGCTCGCTCGCCGCGGCGTGCCCCCCGTGCGCCGGCATCGCGCGCGCGAGCTCGAATCGATGGCATCGAGTCGCTTCCGGCGCGATCGCGCCGCGGAGATCCGTGTCGTGGGTCGCGCCGCCGACGCGCGCCCTCGAGACGCGCCGCGCGTCGTTCGCGCGAGATGAGCCCGCGAGACGCGCATCGTCGTCGTCGTCGTCGTCGTCCGCGCGCGACGCGCGCGCGACCTCCCCGCGCGGCGTCGACGATCGCGGAACGCGCGTCCGTTCCAGCGCGGACGACGACGGAGCCCGCCCTTCGAGCAAGATCGGAAGCCAGGACGACCTCGACGCGAAGGCGGCGTCGCGCGGCAACGCGGCGCGCGCGCGAAAGACGCCCAAGAAGAAGACGCCGTCGTCGTCGTCGTCGTCGCCGAGATCTCGACGACCCGGCGCGTCCGCGGACGGCGGCGACGGCGCGCCGTCGAAGGCGACGACCGCGAGGAATAAACGAAGAGACCGCGCGAAGAAGACGCGAACGACGACCGCGGGGGGGGAGGGACCCGGACCCGGCGGCGTCGGGGACGCGAACGCGAGCGGGCGAGGGAAGCTGCTCACCGCGGACGAAGAGAAAGAGCTCGGCGGCGCGATCCAGCAGCTCCTTCGAATCGAGGCGATGGAGAACGAGCTCGTGGAGGCGTCCATCGCGGAGGAGCTCAGGAGGGATAAAGCCGCCGCCGCCGCCGCGGACAGAGGCGAGATCGTCGTCTCGGACGTCTTCTCGAAAGATTTCGGAAAAGCGAAGAAGGCTGCCGGCGGCGGCGGCGGCGGCGGCGGCGCGACGACGTCGACGTCCCCGGGCCGCGATAAGAACGCGCCCGCGTTCCGACGCGCGCTCGCCGCCGCGCTAGGGTATACCGGCGCGAACGCGCTGAAGACCGCGATCGACGCCGGGCAGAACGCGCGGCGGCAGCTCGTCGTGAAGAACGTCGGTCTCGCGTACAGCATCGCCCGCGACGTGTTCGAAAAGTTAAACCACGCCGACCGCGGGTTACTCTCCGTGTCCGACTTGGCGCAAGAAGGCTGCGCGGGGCTCGCGCAGGCTGCGGATAAGTTCGATCCCTCGCGCGGGTACAAGTTCAGCACGTACGCGTACAACTGGACGAGGAAGTACGTCGTGAACGCGATTCAAAACAACGGGCGGACGATTCGGTTGCCGATTCACATGCACGAGATCATGCAACGCGCGAAGAAAGCGACCAGGGAGCTCACGCAGAAGCACGGCCGCGCGCCCACGGACGAAGAGATGTCGCGAACGCTCGGCGTCCCCGTATCGCGCGTCCAGGAGATCAACGACTGGGCCCGGAGCACGTTATCCCTCGACGTCGGCGGCGGCGGCCGCTCCTCCGACGACGGCGACGGCGGCGCGGAGGGAATGATGGACGGCATCGTCTTCGCGTTGGGAAGCAAGGACGGCAAGGACGGGATGTTATCCCCGCACGAGGCTGCGGAGGCGGACATGGAGGCGGACTTGCTCCGCAGAGATCTCGAGGAAGCGTTCGCGACGCTGCTCCCGCGCGAGGCGTTCGTGCTCCGGCACCGGTTCGGTCTCGCGGCGGCGGCGTCGTCCACGGCGAATCATCACGGCGACGGCGGCGAGGGGTGGCTCAAAGCGACCGCGGAGGAGGTGGAGAAGACGATGAAAGAGGCGAAGAAAACCTCGGAGGGGCCTTCGAGGACCGCGCTCGGCACCCTGCTCGGTGTTTCGCACGAGACCATACGCACGTACGAACGCCGCGCGCTGGAGAAGCTCAAGCAGCCGTCGCGAGCGGCGCGATTCGTGCGGTACCTCGACAAGGAGGACGTCGAGAGGTACACCGAGGCGCAAGGCGCGAAGGGCGCGGAGGAGCTCGCGAACGCGCTCTCCGCGGCTCTCGTCGCCGCGGACGCGAAAGCCGGCGGCGGGCGCATCGCGCGAAGGAGAAACCCCGCGACGACGCCGTCGCCGATGATTGACCTCGCGTCCGACGGCGGCGGCGGCGGCGGCGGCGGGAAAGCCGCGGCGACGACGAAGCCGCGGCGCGCGCGGCGCCCGAGGAAGGTGGACAAAAGCGCGGAGAGCGAGGCGACCGTGGAGATGACCGTGGAGGTCAAGTGATACGTTAGCGGTGGTGAATGCAAGCATGGGACAAGTTAGTTTTTTTAATGCGATCGTTGGTAAGGTACACGTCCGCGCGGCGACGCGCGGCGACGCCGTCTCTCATCGCGAAAACAGAATTCCCAGAAGAAGAGACGAGTTGCACGACTGCTGAAACGGCCGAGCTCGCGTCACGAAAGGACCACGAGATTTCGAGGCCGCGGTCCCCGCACTTGCGCGCGCGCGAGCGACCCCGGCCATGGGGTTGTTCAGCCCGCGCAAGGCGAAGAAGCCACCGCCGGCGATAGCGGAGGACGAGGATCCCCCGCCGCCGCCGCCGCCGCCGCCGAAACCGAACGCGTTCAAGAAGTCCGCGACCGCGATGAAGGCGAACGCGAAGCTGCAGCGACTGAATCCCGTGACGTACGCGAAGACGGCGGAGCGCGAGTACCGCGCGGCGCGCGCCGCGCTCGCGCGTCGCGAGGCCGAGCTCAAGCAGTGCGAGAAACGCGTCGCGAACAAGCAGCTCGCGTACGAGTACCAAGAGAGAGAGCTCGCGTGGCACCTGCAGAGCTTGCGCGCGGAGCTGGCGGACGCGAGAGACCACGGCGCGAAGAAGCACGAGGAGGACGTCATGGATCTCGTGGACGACGCCGACGCGCGCGCGAAGCAGCTGAAGAAACTCAGAGCGCCGGGAGGGTGCCCCGCGGTGGAGGCGCTCACGGCGCGCATCGAGGAGTTGAACGTCGAGATCGTGAACTTGACGAAGAGCGCGGAGAAGTGGAAGGACGTGTGGGAGGAGCGAGGCGGGGACGTCTCGTCGGAGGAGGAGGAGGAGGAGGTGAAGGAGGAGGAGGCGGCGGAGGCGCCGGCGCCGGCGAAGCCGCGGACGCCGGAGCGGGCGCCGCCGCGCGCGCCGAGCGGGGAGAAGGAGAACAAGAGAGAACAACAGGCCGCGTCGAAGAAGAAGAAATCTTCGAAGATGACGCCGCAGAAGAGCCCGCCGAAGCGGAACGAGGCGCAGATACGAGCCATCGTCGCGAGGATGCAAAACCGCGACGGCCCGAAAAAGTCGCTGTGGCGAAAAGGCGCGTACGAGGGACATAAACCGATACCGACGCGCGGTGGCGTTCCCATCAAACCCCGCGAGTCGACGAAACAGAAGAACGAGAGCGGCGCGTGCGTCGTGATGTGACGCGCGCGGTAGCGGACAACGCGGTAGCGGAATAGCGTAGACGTGTAGCGATAGATATACACACATTCGTTCGGACGCGCGCGCGGCTTTCGCGCCGCCGCCGTTGCGCGTCAGTAGAATCCAAACTCGTCGTCCATGCCGTAGTGCGTCCCCCCCGACGCCCGCGCGATCCTCTGCCTCACCTCCATCGCGGACTCGATCTCGCCCTCTCTCTCGACGCTCCCGAACTTCACGCTGTTCCCCATGCTCTGCTCGTTGAACACGACCACCGGCGCCTCCCTCCGCCTCCCCGCGAGAGACGCGTCGTCGGGCATCACGTCCGGATTGCCTTCGTCGTCCAGTCGCATGTGGCCTTGGCCCCCCGCGACGAGCTTCCCCCGGCGCGACGGCGCGCACCCGCTCGCGTCGGTTTCCATGTTCAGGTGATCCGGCGTGTGCCCGTACGGGTTCGTCTGGCGGTTGCGCAGGTCGTGCGAACCGAACACCTCGTGCGCGGCGCTGCCGTCGTCTTTGGTTTTCATCTCGTGCGCGATTCGCGCGTACGCAGCCTTGGATATCGACGGGTCGTAGCTCGCGGGGTCCATGAACGCAGCCTGCGGGGTGAGCTCTTTCAGCGTGAACACGGTGTAGAGGTTCTCCATCATGTCGATCGCGCAGCCGTGGTACTCTTTGATGACGCCGTCCACGAGTTTCGGGTTCAGCGCCGCCCGGGGCATGACGCGAAGGAAAAACTTGGTCAGCATCGCCCAGTTGTGCTTCCGGAACGCGGTGGACGACCCGGTCTCGAACGAGTGCAGCGCGAGCTCGGAGGGGAAGTACCGCGAGCAGATCTCCGCGACGACGTACCCGTTCGCGATGTCCCTGCGGCGTGTCCGGGTGCGGGTGGAGGGGATGGGGGGTTGGAGGGGGTCGCGGGGGTCGGGGGTCGACCGCCGGGTCGCGGCGCGGCGCGGCGGTCAATCTCGCTTCGTGCCACGAACGACGCGCGAGCCTTTTCGGGATTAATCGATTCTCGACGACGACCGCGAGAAGGGACGCGCGACGCACCGTCGCACGTCGCGCACGCTGTGCGACAAGTCCAGGCCCTGGACCCACTTTAAGACCTCGCGTCGCAGCGCGCGGTCCGGATTCGCGCGGAAGTACCCGAACATCGAGCCGTCGTCGGGGTCGATCGATCGCGGCATCTCTCTCGCTTCGTTCGCCTTCCCGCTCGCGCTCGCTTTCCCCTCGTCGTCGGACGGGACGTTTTCGATTCGACGCGACCCGGCGGGTTCGTCCGCGTCCGACGCGCGTGCGTCGCGCGCGCGCGGTGTGCGCTCCTGTCCTCGCCGCCGCGAGAGCGCGACCGAGGTCGAGGCCGTGCGGCGGTCGCGCGAGAGTGCGGACGCCGCGCGCGGAAGGGGCGGTTTCGACGACCGAAGAAATCGTGGTCTTCTTCTGTTTGCTGACGTGCTGACGGGCGTCGCGTCGCGTCGCATGGCGTGCTGTGGGCACTCTCATCGTCATTCGTCCGCCGCGCCGACCGAACGGATCTGGCCGGCGACGCGCGCTCCAGACCGCGCCCTCCCTCCCCGCGCGACCGACGCGACGCGACGCGCGTCGTCGTCGTCGTCGTCGTCGTCGTCGCCCCGTCCATCGCCGGCGCGTCATGTCCTCCGGGGGGAGCGCGCCGACGCCGATGAAGATGGCGAACGGCGACCCCGCGCCCGAGTTCGCGGTCCGAGAGGCGATCCGTCTCGACCTCGCGAAGAGACTCATCGCGACGCTGGAGGCGGCGAACCTCGACGACGTCGCGACCGCGGCGCCGCTCGATCGCGCGGAGCTCGCGCGTCAAGCGCGCGCGAAGCTGCAGTACGACTTCCCGCTGATGCGCGCCGAGGAGCTGGACGCGCTGACCGCGGAGCTCCTGTCGGAGGATGGGGAGGTGGGCGGCGGCGGCGATCGTCGCGGCGGCGTCCGCGCGGCGGTGACGTCGCGGCTCGTGTCCGCCGCGATCGAGGGCGCGTCGAGACCCGCGCCGGGGGGGTCGTCGGGCGCGCCGACGATCGAGTCCGCGACCGCCGCCGCCGCCGCGGAGGGCGACGACGACGCGCGCGGCGACGAGGAAAAAGCGCGCGACCGCGACCGCGACCGCGACCGCGACCGCGACGCCGCCGACGACGCCGCGGCGACGGACGTCCGCGCGGCGTACCAGCGCCTGTGCGCGGCGCTGTTGATCCACCTCCCGCTCCGCGTCGCGAGGATGGAGGACGCCGACGCGGACGCGCTGCTGGGGGGCTACGTCCGCGAGCTCGACCCGGTCGCGGAGACGACGAACGACGACGCCGCCGACGACGCCGACGACGCCGACGACGACGCGGCGACGGCGGCGGCGCCCGCCGCCGCGCCGCCGAACGACGACGCCGATCTCGACCCGGGGTCCGACTCCGAGGAGTGGGAACCCCTGGAGCGCGACCCGTCGACCGCGCCGTCCGCGCGCGCGCCGACGCCGCCGGACGCCGACGCGGCGATGACTCCCGGCGACCGCGTCGACGCGAAGCTCCTGGACCTCCTCTCTCGGACGTCATCCGCGTGCTTCTCCGACGGCGGTGAAAACGCACGGTTCACGGCCGTTTCGACCTCCTCCTCCTCCGCGTCGTCCGTCTGGGACGATCCCACGACGACGACGGCGTGCGTGGAGCTGATCGAGACGCTCGCGCGCGCGTCCGCGCGTCCCCGCCGATGCGCGTGTCGCCTGCTCCCGCTGAGGACGCTTCGAGACCGCTGGGCGACGCGCGGCCCCCCCGGGGAGAGGGATCGAGAGACGAGAGACGCGCTCCCTCGCGTCCTCGCCGCGCTCGGGTTCCGATCGCGACGGCGCGGAGAGGCGGTGGCGGCGAGGTCGTGGTCGAGGTCGAGGTCGGACGACGACGCGAGCTCCCCGGGCGGCGCGGAGGACGTGGACGCGGCGTTGGACCTCCTGTCGACCGCGTGCGCGAGTCTCGGCGGCGTCGGTCTCGGGGCAGCCGCCGCCGCCGCCGCCGCCGTCAAAACGCGCGGCGCGTCGCCGCACGAGGTGGGCTTTAGCAGCCCCGGGCGCGCGCTGTGGTCGCACGTCCACGCGCATCTCGGCGTCGTCGCGGAGACGTTCGAGTCCATCGCGGAGGCGGTCACCGTGCGGAAGGCGAACGACGACGCGAGGGTCGCGGCGGCGGCGGCGACGGCGAAGGACCCCCGGTGGCGAATGAATTCCGCCGCGTGCGCCGTCGTCGTCGCGTTCTACGTCTCGCACGCGGGCGGGAACGCTCGCGTCGGCGAGTCTCTCCTCGAGACCGGCGCGCTGCGAGCCGCGTGCGCGTGCTTCGTCGCGAGCGGGGTCGCGTCGTCGCCCCACGCGGAGGCGCTGCGGCGGCTGCTGCTTCTCGCCGCGGCGGCGGCGCCGGAGGCGGCGAGATGGATCGTCGCCGTCCCCGGCGCGCGCGCGGCGGTGGAAACCGACGACGCGTTCCTCGACGGCGGCGCGCTCGCCGCGCACGGCGCGCTCTGGGAGCTCGTGCTCCCCGCGCCGGGCGCGAGCGCGACGGACGCGGAGCGCGTCGCCGCGGGGAGGATGGCGAGGGCGCTGGACGCGGCGACGCCGGCGACGGCGGTGGCGGCGCTCAGGGTGTTACGCGCGACGCAACGCGCGGCGAAATCGCGCGGCGGCGGCGACGGGTTATGGCGGAAAGGCGGCGCGTTCGACGCCGCGCTGAGGGCGGCGCAGACGGCGCTCGCGAGCGCGCTCGCGGCGGCGAGCCGCGCGAGGGACGTCGAGGGCGCGATCGGCGGACGCGCGAGGAAGACGTCCGGGAGCGACGACGACGACGCGTCCGACGACGAATCCGACGACGAATCCGACGCCGACGCGGCGGTGGAGGCGGGGGCGATCGTCGCGGCTGCGGCGGCGGCGATGGCGGACGGCGGCGGCGGCGGCGGGGGTGATACTGACGGGGAGGCAGCGAAGCGACTCGAGGAGAGAAGCGCGAGCGCGCGAGAGGGGTTCAATCCGGAGCTGGAGAAGGACCGCGAGGCGGCGGCGGCGGCGTTGCGGGCGTTGAAGGAAATTCTCGGCGCCGCGGACGGCGGCGGCGGGACGCGGAAGTGCGACTGACTGATGAGAGGCCGCGAGCGCGCGCTGCTCAGACTATTTTTAAACGAACGCGACGGAGTCGGTGTCTTCATCATTCAAGCGCGCATCGCGCGCGGTTCTCGGATCTTTCGCGCCTACTCGCGGTGCGCGGACTCGAGCAGCTTGCGTCGCCCAGCCGCGAGCTTCGGGACGTTGAAGTACGGGGTGGAGTTGAAAGGCGTCAGTTGGAGTTGAAAGGCGTCGAGGTGTGTCGGGATTGAAAGCGAGGGGTGGGCGGAGAGACACGCCGGGAAAAGTCCTTAAGGATCGGCGTTCACCACGCCGCCGCGGTCGTATGGGAACCAGTGTATAGAACGCACCTTCGGGACGTTGAAGTACGTCCCCGCGCCGCCGCAGCGGCTGCCCGCGAACGTGCAGCCTCGTATGACCTGGTTCACGCCCATGCCGCCGCGTCCGAACCCGCGGCCGCCGAGTGCGCCTCCGCGGCCGAGGCCGGGGCCGCCGATGCCGCCGCCGATGCGACCGCCGCCGATGCGACCGCCGCCGATGCCGCCGCCGCCGATGCGGAGCAGGCGGCGGCGGCGGTTGGCGGGCTCCGGCGCGGGCGCGGGCGCGCCGGCGGCGTCCTCGTCCGTCGGCTCGGTCTCCTCCGCCTCCTCCATCATCTTCTCGACCTCGTCCGCGTCCAAGATCTCGAGGTGGATCGTCGGCACGCTCATCGTCTCGCCCTTTGCCTTCATCTCCTCGTGCGTCGTCTTCAGGTACTCGATCGGCTCCGCGCCGTAGAGGAGGACTTCGCCCTCGCGCCCGGTGGTCGTGTTCGCGGAGAGGAGCTCGCAGAAAGCGCCGGTTTTCTCCGCCGCCTCCGGGGCCGCGTCGGCTTCGCCGCACGGGTGATCGCCCGGCGCGCCGGGGTGGGGGTCGTCGCCGACGCAGTTCTCCGGCTTCGCGTGCCCGCAGACGAGGAAGATGTGGCGTTCGTCCGCGTCGAGGTCGTTCGCGACTTTGATGAAATCCAGCGTGAAGTCGTTCGACTCCGTCGGGAACCTCGAGTGAGAAAAAAAGAAGCGAAAAGCGTCAGTGGAAACCTTGGAACGCGCGACAAGACCCGGCTCGAAGCGCGCGGAGAAGCGCACAGCAGATACCGGTGGATGCCATGGCGAGGGACGGAGACGCACTGGATCATCGCGAAGCTCTTCTTCATGACGTCACCGGTCTCGCGCGACGCAAACCTCTGAAAGTGCGTCGTCTCCGCGTCCATGCCGAGCTCGTCCATGATCTCCGTGACGTCCTCTCGCACGCCCGCGCTCACCTCTTCGAGCGCGGTCATGATCATCGACCCGGTCAAGGACGGGACGTCCTCCGCGACAGCGGTGGACGCGACGAGCGCGAGCGCGAGGACGAGGACGAGGACGAACGAGAAGATGTTTTTCATGAGCGCGATATCGCGTGCGGCACGCGCGTGGAGGTGTGACGAGCACCCCCCCCCCCCATTGGATCGAACGATTGGATCGAACGAGGAAAGTGAGTGGTAGCCCTCGAGTGGCTCTCGAGCGGTCCGAGAGCGTGTGCGTACGTGCTGTTCGGATTCAACCAAGACAAAAGAAATTATTTCTTCTTCCGCGAGCCCTTCCCCGCGCTCGCGGTGACCACCTCCGCCTCCACGGGCTGCCCGTCGCCAACCTCCGGGAACTCCCCCTCCGCCGCGCCCGCGTCCGCGCTCGACCCTTGCGGCGGCTCCACCTGCGCCTCCGCCGGGTTTTCCTTCACTCTCTTCGGCTGGAACTGATACACGCTGTAGATGACGTTCCTTCGAATCTGCGCCATCATCTCGACGAAGAGGTTGTATCCCTCGAGCTTGTACTCGATGAGCGGGTCCTTCTGCGCGTACCCGCGGAGTCCCACCGCCTGCTGCACGAACTTGATCGCCTGGAGGTGCTCCTTCCACAAGTTATCCGTCTGCGACAACACGAAGAACCTCTCCGCTTCGCCCATCAGACCGGGTTGCGCGGCTTCGACTTCTTGGCGTTTCGTGACGTACGCGTCCTTCCCGCGTTTGACGAGGTAGTCTCGCACGCCGTCGATCCCTCCCTCGTCCGCCTTGGCTCGCAAGTCCGCCTCGTCGATGTCCGCCATGAAGTAGCAGTACTGCGCCATCTTCTCCGCGAGACCCTTCAGAGGCCACTCCGAGGGAGCCACGGACGGATCGAGGTTCGCGTTGACGATGTCGTCCACGGTGAGCTCCGCGTACTCGAGCATCTGCTGTTGCAGGTCCTCGGGCTTGGCGCTCAGCGCGCGTCTGCGTTCGAAGTAAATCTTCTCGCGCTGCGAGTTCAACACCGCGTCGTAGTCGAACAGCTGCTTGCGGATGTCGTAAAAGTACGTCTCGACCTTCTTCTGCGCGGTGTCCAGGGACGACGTCAGCATCCCGGACTCGATCGGCATGTCGTCGATTTGAAACGCGGACATCAGGCTCTGGATCTTTTCGCCGCCGAAGATGCGAAACAGATTATCCTCCAGGGAGAGGAAGTACCGCGTGCTTCCCGGGTCACCCTGGCGCCCCGCGCGCCCGCGGAGCTGGTTATCCACGCGTCTCGACTCGTGACGCTCCGTGCCGACGACGTGGAGGCCGCCGAGGCCGACGACCTCCACCTTCTCCGCGCTCGTCACCGCCTTGAACTCTTTTTCGATCTCGTTGAACGCCTCGCGAATCGCGAGCGTCCCGGGCTCCTCCGTCGGCGCCTTCTCGCACGCGAAAGAGAGCTTATCCTCCGCGTCGAACGCGCCAATGGACCGCGCGCCCCAGGCGTCGACCGCGGTGTCCACCGCGGACTTGAGCAGCGCCTCCGTGGCCGGGGATAAGTCGCACGGGTACAAGCCGTCCTTCACCTTCCACTTGTCGGCGTTGGCGCCGCCGAGAGACTTCTTCTCGAACGCGATGTCCCCTTCCTCGGGCTCGACAATCTTCGGGAGGAGCGCCTCGCGGATCTTCAGACGCGCCATGAACTCTGCGTTCCCACCGAGGAGGATGTCCGTGCCGCGTCCGGCCATGTTCGTCGCGATCGTGACGGCGCCCTTCCTGCCGCTCTGCGCGACGATTTCCGCCTCGCGTTCGACGTTCTCCGGCTTGGCGTTCAAGAGCTCGTATCCGATGCCGTCCTCGTCGAGGAGGCGGCCGATCTCCTCGGACCTCTCCACGGACGTCGTGCCCACGAGCACGGGTCGGCCTTTCTTGTGCATACGCGCGATCTCTCTCCGCACCGCGTTCCACTTCCCGGGTTCGTTCCGGAAGACGACGTCTTGGCTGTCCTCTCGCGCGACGGATCTGTTCGTCGGGACGACTTGCACGGAGAGGTCGTAGATGTTGTTAAACTCCGTGAGCTCCGTCTCCGCGGTGCCGGTCATCCCGCCGAGCTTCGGGAACGTGCGGAAGAACGCCTGGTACGTCACGGACGCGATCGTGACCGTCTCGTTCTGAATCGGGAGCCCCTCTTTCGCTTCCACGGCTTGGTGTAAGCCGTCGCTCCAGCGTCGGCCGACCATCGTGCGGCCGGTGAACTCGTCCACGATGATGACCTCGTTGCTCTTGATGATGTAGTTGACGTCCTTCAGCTGCAGCTCTTTCGCTTTCAGGGCGTTGATGATGTACAGCGCCCACTGCGTCCGCGGGTCGTACAGGTCGTCCACCTGAAGGAGATCCTCCGCGGCTTCGTAGCCCTCCTCCGTGAGAAGGATGCTCTTCTGCTTCTCGTCGACTTTGTAGTGGTAGTCCTTCTCGAACGCGTCCGCGATCTTCGCGGACTGGATGTACCGCTCGGACGGCTTGTCCGCGATGCCGGAGATGATGAGCGGCGTGCGCGCTTCGTCGATGAGGATGGAGTCCACCTCGTCGATGACGCAAAAGTTGAAATCTCTCAACACGAGCTCCGCCGGGGACTGCGCGAGGTTGTCTCTGAGGTAATCGAAACCGAGCTCGGAGTTCGTGACGTACGTCACGTCCGAGCTGTACCCCTCGCGCCGCTCCTCCTCCGCCATCCCAGCCTGGATGAGCCCGCACGTGAGCCCGAGGAACTTGTGCACCTGACCGATCCACTCGCAATCGCGTCGCGCGAGGTAATCGTTCACGGTGACGACGTGCACGCCCTTCCCGCCGAGGGCGTTGAGGTACGCGGGCAGCGCGGACACGAGGGTCTTACCCTCGCCCGTTCGCATCTCCGCGATCTGCCCTTCGTGAAGGATCATCCCGCCGATGAGCTGGACGTCGAACGGGCGAAGCCCGAGGACGCGGTCGCTCGCCTCGCGGACGACGGCGAACGCCTCGACGAGGAGGGAGTCCAAGTCCGCGCCCGCGCGCACCTTGCCCTGAAGCTCCGTCGTCTTCGCGCGCAGCTCGTCGTCCGACAGCTTCGCGATCGCGGGCGCGAGCGCGTTGATCGCGTCGACGCGGTCCTTGTACCTCGCCGCGGTCTTCGCGCTCGGGTCGCCCTTCATGAGGCCGTCCACGCCCTTCTTGAGCTGGTCGAAGATGGCGTCGCATCGCAGCGGCGCGCCGCGGACGGGGCGGCGGCGCGCCGCTGCGATGCGACGCCATCTTCGACCAGCTCAAGAAGGGCGTGGACGGCCTCATGAAGGGCGACCCGAGCGCGAAGACCGCGGCGAGGTACAAGGACCGCGTCGACGCGATCAACGCGCTCGCGCACGCGATCGCGAAG